ACCCAAGACTTCTGTCCAGTGGGCAGGTAGTCATATATGTGACACTCCATGCAAAACACTGGATACCCCCCAACCCCCTGCTGGCATTCTGGGTTCATAATTGCTTTTAAAATAATTAAATACAATCCCCCTTTTAAATCCCTTTGTATTTATGTGGTTCTCCTTGTAGAAGTCTACTTACCTTACTGGTAACACAAGGAGACTAGGGCTTGGCTTTCTGGCTCTTCCTGGGCTGCTTACAGAGCACCTAGGCTAAGAGCCACAGCAAAGAGCCCTTTAGCTCGCCCTTCGGCTCATGCCAGAGGCTAGCCCAATCTCATCAGATCTCAGAAGCTAATCAGGGCTGGTCCTGGTTAATATTTGGATGGGACATCACCATGGAAGTCCAGGGTTGCTATGCAGAGGCAGGCAATGGCAATGTCTGTTTCCTTGAAAAACCCCTGTGGTGTCGCAGTAAGTTGGCTGTGACTTGATGGCATTTTTGACCACCAAGAATCAATTCATCTTCAGTTTTTAAACATAGGTTGTAAAAGTATGAGAGCTTCACTAGCAGAAAGCAATATCTGGGTCTCTTTGTGATGTTTATCATTCCAGAAATGTGTATGTTTATGCTGCAGTTTTGCTATCAGTGCCATTGCTATCTCTTCCATTGTAGTTTCAAATAGGCATTTCTTCACTGTTCTTATGAGCACAGGTCTTTTGAAAAACAGTTTTCTTTTCAGCTATGGGCCCTGACTCCACAGGGAAGGTTCATCTTATATATCTCAAACAATTAAGGATTGTTCCTTGAGATGTCTAAATATTGGCATCATCTTGATAGTTGACTAATTTTAAATTACATTTTTGTGGTTAGCTAAGAAGTTTTGTGTGTTTTCTGGAATTTTGTTTTAAGGACTCAAAACGAGGATTTGGGATTGCAGTTTCTGGTGGCCGAGATAACCCTCATTTTGAAAATGGTGAAACATCCATAGTTGTTTCAGATGTTCTTGCTGGTGGTCCAGCTGATGGGTTACTTCAGTAAGTATGGTTCCTTACATCAGTAATGCCTGCCTCTCTTTTCCTTGGTTTTGCTGTCCAAAGGGTGAGTACTTCTAAATGTCGCTTTTCATGAAAGCACAGATGTAACCCAAACTAACATGGTTATTTGATCTGGCCATCGATATTTGAAAAACTTGTACAATCTAGTTGTCCTCTTACTTTGGCGCCTGGTCTAATAGCTAGAGCAGTGAACTGGGACTGAATTTCCCACTCAGCATTGGAGTGCCTCTGAATGGAAATGTTTTGTGCTCCTGGAGGAAAAAGGTACAGGACAGTCCCAGGCAGACATGGCGTCACTGTTCATGACAGAACCCACTTCATATATCCAGCCACTGCAAGCCACATGCTCCTTGAGCAGGTAACAGTAATGAGAGTTAAACTGGCTTCTTAATGCTGGGTTAGCCACTGACGACATCCCTTGTTTGAGCAACTCTCAGCTAGACTCTTGGGGATTAGTAAGTAGGAGCTTCTGTCCCATATTGTTGTTTGTCATTGGTTGTAACACTTCATATGTGAGGACTGTTAAACGATCCCAGTGAAGTGAAACCTCTTAATTACTGGACATTCAATAAGTGCTTTTCCATTAGTTTATCTTTAGTCATACAGCTAACAATGAATGTGATCAAGTTCTGGAAAGGTGCTGTGACAAACAAAAATAGGGCAATATCCATAGCTTTTGGGTTGCTTTACAAAATTTGCTTTTGCTCAAATCATTGTGCTGTTATTTTTTGAATTTAACAGAGTTTAATAGGGAAAGTTCTCCGGTTATCTCTAGGTTTACATAAGGTATTCCTTTTATTATTACTTTAAAAAAAGAAATCATTTAAAAAGCCCTACTGTGCTTGCTCTAGTCCTGTGTTGGGTGCAGATCTGCATGCTGAGCCAAGAGGAAATATATATTTTAATAATAAATGTGCCCTGATCACTGTAAAGCATAAGAGTCCTGTCTTCCCCATACTGTCTGGCACTTGTGCACAATGTCCACCAGCCAGTCTATTACAGGAAACCCATTCATTCCCCCCCCCCAACTGTTTCCCAAATGAAGAAGGGGGGTTGAACAGGAATATGGGAAGCATGCACAGACCTTCCATTCCACATAATGACCTAGCTCCACATGTATGGTGTGTGTGTAGGTGTGTGTAGGTGTGAGTTGACCAGACCAGATCATTCTTAAGCTGTGTGTGTGGGGGGGATCCTTCCCTGCTTAGGCACTGCGTTCATGGTAGGATTGACTTAGGACAAGCACTTTAAACCAAAGTTAGATGTCGGTTTTAAAAATAGTCTCATCTAATCTTCAGTGCACTTCTGTTTCCAGAGAAAATGACAGAGTGGTTATGGTTAATGGGACACTGATGGAAAATGTGCCCCATTCTTTTGCCGTGCAGCAGTTACGGAAAAGTGGGAAAACGGCTGTCATTGTAAGTTAATTGTTACTTGTATTTGAGGGAGACTTGGGAGGGTGGCAGCTTTCTTAAATTTATGGAGCCACTTAAGCTTTTGCTGAAGAAGAATTTCTGAGTAGATTCTTAGAGTATCTGAAGGATCTGGATTCAGTATATGCTATTCAAATCAGAAGGAGGTTTTGTCTTTTACATTAACCTGAATTTTAACTTTATTGTATCTAATCATGAGGCTTTCTTCTTGATACAATAATGACATATTTCAACCTAAAATGCAAATAGGTAAGAGAGAGAGAGTGGAAGGGACGCTCCCCTCCTGACAAAAACAGCAGTAGGGGAAGGCCCTTCACTTAGTGACAGAGCCACAGGCTTGGTGTGCAGAAGATCTCAGGTTCAACCCTGGACAAATATGTAAGCGAGAGTGGAAGGGACGCTCCCCTCCTGATAAAAACAGCAGTAGGGGAAGGCCCACAGAGCCACAGGCTTTGTGTGCAGAAGATCTCAGGTTCAACCCTGGCATCCTCCAGCATGGTTAGGTGGGTTAGATCAGGATATGGGAGATCCAGGTTTCAACCCTCACTTTGCCATGGAAACTTGCTGGGTGATCTTGGGCCAGTCATATACTTTCAATCTAACCTACCTCACAGGGTTGTCATGAGAATAAAATGGAGGACAGGAGAAAGTTGTAAGCCACCTCGTGTCCCCATTTGGAGAGGAAAGTGTGGTATAATAAATGAACAAAAAGCATCTCAGGGAACATGGCTGAAGGTTCTGTGAGACTTGGAAGCCTGAAGTATTTCCTTGTGATCCCAATTTTGTCTACTAAAGCAGACCATTTTACATATTTTGTTATGAGTTGTTTTTAAGGATCAACACAGGAACCACTAGTGTCTGTTGAATTGTTAAAGGGGGGGGTGTTTCTACACTTAAGCAAAGCATGCTGGCCTAGCTATTACTTTAGAGTAGGAGGGAGACACTGTGCAACCAGTTGCCCGAAACAAAAGCCCTGCAGAAGTCACCCACAGAAGGGATTTCCTTATGAAAAGAGCAGATGTGTCTGGGTAACTTTTTCTAACTTGACTGTAATATTTATTTTGGGAAAACACACTGTGTATGGCCTTTAAAAGGTTTTTCTTTCTGTGGTTAAGGCAATGAAAAACTCAAATCATGTAGCACTTAAAGGGATCTGATATATGCAAAGTAAAATTTTAATCCTGGAAGAACAAACAGTCTCTAGAGTAGCTTAATTTATATCACTTGAAATGAAGAGGTGCAGGGGGGAAGGTTTTCGCCAACCTGGTTTAAATGTGATAGTGTTATACAAAAAGTGTATGTGGCCGATGCCTTGTTTACAAGGTGCTTGCTGCATTTACAGATATGCTTATATATCTGCAACATTAGTGTGCCACAGTCTGGGTTTCAGGTGCTGGGTATGCGGCCAGATGCATGCCTACTTGAGTAAATACTATGCAGCATTACATCTAAATTGGACTTCACTAACATGGTGATGATTTTTTTTTTAAGCTGAATATATAAAAAGAAACACTTTAATAGTGCAAAACCGTTCTTAAATTCTGTGAATAGGTAGTGAAAAGACCTCGAAAAGTTCAGCTCCCAGCTGTTAGAAGAAGCCCTTCTCTTGACTATGACTACAGAGCCTTTGAGGTCACGGATGACCATGCAGAATTAGATGGCAGAAGCACTCGGAGTGGCTATACGGAAAGGAGCTGGCATAGCGGAAATGGAGGCCGCAGCCAGAGCTGGGGAAACAGCCTTGATAAAGGCTACAGAATTGACCCGGGTAGGGGGCGCAGCCACAGCCGAGAGCGCAGTTACAGCCGGGACCGAAGTCGTGGCCGGAGTGTGGACAGAGAGAGAAGCTTGGATCGTGAATACCAAAGACCTCGAAGCAGGGGCAGGAGTTTTGACAGAGATGACATGTATGAACATGGCTATGGTGACAGTAGGAGTCCACCAAAAGATCATAGCTGGAGGCGTCGTCCTGATCCTCAGTACAAGAAGGAAATAAGGAGTGGTAGCAGAGACCGGCTTAATTCCCGCAGCCCTTCACTTGAATTGCAGCATCAGTATGATTATGATGGGCAACAGGATCCAAGTGGGCCGGTTAATGTTCTCCTCACAAAAAATAGATCAAATGAAGGTAAGTATAATGATCTGATGTAAGTTGCAGGATTTAGCCTATGTCTCTTAGTCATGGGGAAGAGGGTCAAATTATTTTTTATTTTATATAGTTATTTAACTTATAAATTATCCAGGCTACCAAAGCCACATTCATATTGCCAGTACGTTTTGAAACTTCTATTTTTTAGCCATAATGGCTAGAAACTTGAGTTTGCTTTAAAAAAAATTAAACCTCGAATTTGCTGGATGTTTGTTTGATTCTTGGTCAGTTCTGTAACTTTCTTAAATAGTTCACAGCCATCCATGTGGACTGCAGGATTGTTACTAGCCTACATGGGAGACAATGCAGTGTGAGGTGCTCGTAAACAGACATCTCCCTGTTTTTACAGTTTATTAAATTTTTCAGTCACCATGCATGACTGCTGTTTGTCTTGGTGGGTTATGTGTTGTGTCCACCTGTAGCAGAGTGCCAGTGAGTTGGAAGGACAAAGAGGTCCAAGCAAGGAGAAAAATGCTGTTGATGAGTCCCTTCAATAAAATGTTTGGAAGTCTCTGAGATGTAGTATGTTTAATCTGTTGGGCACTACAAAACTTTCTCCACCCTCCCCCTTACAGAATATGGTCTCCGGCTTGGGAGTCAGATTTTCATCAAAGAAATGACTAGTACGGGCCTAGCAACAAAAGATGGCAATTTGCATGAAGGGGACATCATCCTAAAAGTATGTTGTATGGACCCTTTATTCTGTATAAGCAGGGGTCGATTCGGGGGGAATTGCGGGGGATCGCCGTTCCCCCGGGTGAGGTGCAGGGGGCGGGGCACACGACAAAGCCCTGCCCCCTGCTTCCGGTCGGGGTAAAATGGCAATTTGACGCACCCTGTAAGTGCTCAGGGTGGACGGGTGTTCCTTACAGCAGTTTGGACTGTATTTTGGTCCAACGCGGCTTCCCCCAGGAAGGGGGAATGACTGGCAGGCATCAAGACCCAAGAGAGAGTTGAGATTGGTGTGATCAAGTCTCGGAGGAGACTTGTATTACACTTTGATCCCCTCTCCCGAAGGGGGCGAGTGCATTCAGGGGGTGTGGCCTTATGACACACTTCCGGTGGTGTCAGGGGGTGTGGCATATGCTAATGAGCATATGCTAATTGATTAAGCTAATAAGTTCCCCTAGCTCTTTTTCTACGAAACGACCCCTGTGTATAAGTGTGGTAAACTGTATTACATATGACAACTTAGCAAGTTTTCCTGTCTGTTTGCAAACATTGAGTGAAGACTCAGTGTTAAAATGGTTTGTCGGGGGCATTTCTTTACCAATCCAGATCAATGGTACAGTGACAGAGAATATGTCCTTATCTGATGCAAGAAAACTCATTGAGAAATCAAGAGGGAAACTCCAGCTTGTTGTCATGCGGGACAGAAAACAAACCCTGATCAACATTCCCTCAATGCATGACAGTGAATCAGAAATGGAAGGTGAGACGTTGAAATTATGACCTTTTATGTGTTTTTTATAGTTGTAGTTTTATTCATGGTTTTAATGTGTTTTTATAATTGTTTCATCTATATCATAAGCCTCCTTGAGTTCCACGAGGGAAAAAGGTGATTTAAATAAATTAAAAAATAAAGCAGAACAAAAGTTATATTTTTCCCAGTGTAAGAAAAATGTCAAGTGAAAAATTATCATTAGTGAGGCACATGCCTTAGAAGTACTCTTCTTTCCAGTAAGCTAATGAACGATGAAGAGAAGAAACCTGGTATAAAAAGCAGGTTCTACTGCTGAGCCTTAGATCAGATTGGACTTCGGCCAGAGAACTCATCCACATGCCTTGCCTACAAAACTGGATGTGTATCTGATCAGATAAACGTTAGAAGCCTGAAAATGCACTGATTTTGCCCCTAAGTTTTCAGCCTGAGAACTTTTATTACATACTTCAGGTTGCTCATTGCTTTTTGACAACCTTGAGTAGAAGTGTGTTAGTCTCTGTGTCTTCAGTGAAAGTTTATTTTGTTGTGGGTTCATCAATTAGGCAAGCAATGTGTACATCATGTATGACAAGTATTACCCACAAAATGGCAGCAGTGACAGTGAATCCCAAATACCTTTAGCTGGGAGGAGGCGGGGGCGGAGATTGTGTGAGTGTGTCCAGTTCACTACCAGATTTATTTTCATATTGTATGTTGAGTGCTATATAGTTTAAACTGAGATCCTGGTAGCCTTTACTCCACTTTTGGCCTTGACGTACACAAGGAGCTCACAACAGCTCTCTTTACCAGACCAGGGTAATGACCTGATATGTGTATTACTAGTATTGGCATGAGAACTGTTGTGGTGGGATTGCTGTCACACTGCTCCGGTAATGATTTGGGGAAGCTAAGAAGCAGCAACATGATTATTTTCCGTTATCATTTTACCCTTACTTGTAGGTAGCTGTGCCTGAGTGGCTTCCTTGCTGCTGGTGGCAGTGTATGCACTAGTGTAGAGCAAAGGTCTCCAACAGATAGCTTATGAGCTACTGGTTGCTTGCCAGCTGCTGCAGAGTAGCTCATGTATTCCCCTGGAAACATACAGGAATATAAACTTTTTTTTCCCATAGGATTTTTCTATCTGCTGCTTAGCTGAGAACTCTTCTTTGTCAATGTTCTGTTTCCAGGACAGATCAAAACTTGGTAATGTTCAGGAGAGGTGGGAGGAGAGTAGCTCAGGATATTTTTCATTACTCAGATATCGCTCTCATTAGGGTGCGTGTGTGTGACTCTGGGCCAGAGTATTGCTGGCTAAATTGTAGGATAGGATACTGTTCAGTTCCCTGGGGAAAGGTTTGGATCTTCTCTGTGGAAAATCTGGGGAATCCCTGCTCTCGAGTAAATGACTGTCATATGAAAGTTTGTGTATGCTTTTGCAAGCTGAACAGGATGGGGCTAAACCATCTAAAATTAGCTTTTCTGGTAGGAATTTTTCCTAGTTTTTGCTTGATCTAATTTCACTGGGTGGCTGTTTGTTTCTTAAATGCTTGTTGTGATAAATGAATGTTAAAATTATAGGCATATGGCTTACCCAGATTTTATATTGTGCTGTTTCAACAGATATTTCAGAAATTGAGTCAAACCGGTCTTGCTCCCCTCAGGAAGACAGAAGACTGCATCATTCAGATGTAGACTCTCATTCTTCCAATGAAAAGCTAAGAGAAAAACTAAGGTATGGTATATAGACAGTTTCAAATTGTTACTTTTGTTAATCAGTATTCAGTTTTCTATTAACTAAATTAATTTTTGTGTTAAGTACAAAAGAAGAACCAGCCAATAGACTGTCCAAAATGGGAGCAATGCCTACGCCTTTTAAGTCAACTAGTGATCTCACTGCAACTTTAACTGCAGACACAAACCACGAACCAAAGTACCATGATGAGCCACCAGGTGAGTGCTGGGTTTCTCTTATTGAGATATGTTGATTGCAATAGGCAGAAAATTAATAATTAATACGTAATTATGAAAATGGTCTTTGGTCAGTGACTAATGGGATAACTTTCAGTGAGTAAATTTCACAATCATTTCTTCATGCTGTCATTCCAATTCTCTTCTTCAGTGTTAAACTTTATCCCCCTAAGCTACTTCCATAGATCAGAGACAAAGCTGTATGTCTTCTCTGCTACAGCAGCTGCATGCCAAATTGTCTTTCCAGCTGCCTATTAGTAAAGGATGAAGTTAAGATTACGTTTTTTTCATTAGAGCACTAATTATAAATCTTCATAAGTCAAAACTGAAAATGAGCCCGGGGTGAGAGATGGCCAAAGAACTTTGATGGGCGTTAAATGAAAAGACAACGGTTGAGAACAAAAAGTATAACGTCAAGCAAATATGAATGTTACACACACACACACACACAGAGTCCCCAAATCCTCTGTGTTTCACTAGAATTAATGATGGCAGATTGTATAGGTATGAAAGACATTTAATGCCTTGTACTTGAATAGGTTGATTGGCCTTTTAGGTGTTATTTGTGATAATATAGATATATCAAAGGAAGGGAGACTCCTAGATAAAGGGGATTACATAGTTAGAAGACTAGTCCTGCTTTAAATTACTTTGATATTCATAGCACATCTACTTTGCATTTATGAACACATAAGTGATGACTGCATTTAAGTGAAAATCCTCAGCATACTTCCTTGTGAGTACCATTGAGATAAATTGGAAATACTTCCAAGTAATCTTGCTTTAGGACAGGAGTCAGCAGTGCCAGTCCAAATTGTTCTGCTGGCAAAAGATGGCTTCTACAGTCCTTGGGTTTTTAACATTATCTTGTCATATTTATATTATTTAAAAATAAAACAGAGGCTAATTCTGTGAATTTGTTTTTAATTTATACAGTTGTTCAACCCAAACCAGCCCCAAGAACATTTCTTCAGCCCAGTCCTGAAGATCTGGCAATATTTGGGTATGATTTTTTTTAACTGCTTTCACTCATTACTCTTTCATAGCTCTAGATAATAGGAAGCAGCTAGATGTTTATATAAAACATCTATTTGGAATTTGGAATTAAATTTGCCTAAAGAACATCTGTGGTGAGTATACATCGACCATCCTGAACTCTTAAAATGAATCTTTAAAATGAACTTTTAAAATGAACTGTAGAGCACCATTTTAGTTGTATTTATTGAGGTTTTAATGTAATCTATGTTTTATTCCTGGCATTTGCCGCTTGTTTGCCGCCCTGGGCCGTATGGGTAGGGCGGGATATAAATCCCAAAATAAATAAAATAAATAAATATAAAATAAACATAGGTTTTACGGTACCATGCTTGTTCCCCAACCATGGTTAGGAAATTACAATGTCCCAAGTCTTATATGCTTTTTAAAAATAAATGTCCCTTCCAATCTGAAGATTACCCTGATTAGCATTTCATCTGCACCAATATTGATGCTAACCCAAAGTTAGCCGAAATCACAGCACACAAACTGACTACCAACTATAATTGCAAATATCAGTTTGATACTAACCTTGGTTAGTGGAAATGTTGGTACAGAAGTAACACTAACCTTAGCTCTGAAAGAGGGGTGGGTGCACATAAAGTTACAGGGCATCTCCTAAATATTCTCTTAAATATTCGTAAAAAATAAGGCAGCTCACGTGGTCACCAGGCTATAGTTAACTTTCTTCAAAAGAGTGTTCCTAATAACACTTGTGAAAGCACACAAGTGCAGTTTGTGATCCAGTCAGCTAATTCACAGTTTCAAAGTCCACCAGCGTATCATGCTGGAGAGGGGCTAGTATGAAATGGACTCCGTTACCAAGGAGCTGGCATCCATTTCCATGATTCCAGCTGCCTGCTGAATAAAATGCAGCTGCAGCAATGGCCCATTTCACTGTAGCTTCCCCCCACTAATTTCTGTACCTGTATTCATGATAGGACTCGATAACGTGAACTGGCCTTTGGGATACAGAAACTACCTGACATGAGTAAATGTAATGGAAAGTCCTATAATCGTCAGTCACTTTGCTAATTGATTTCCCCATGATTAGCAATTGTAGAGTTGATTGAGATGCTGCTGCCCTCACACAGTGACCGCCCCCACTTTCCGCACATGGAGTTAACTATGTTGAAAGTGTTTCTGTGTGCAAGTCACCGCTGTCCTTCATTAGTGTAATGTAGAAATGGTTTCTAGTCTTATGACATCTGAATCCTCCCTAATGCCTCTCTTTTAGCCCTGGTACAAAGATGGTGAAATTTAAGAAAGGAGACAGTGTGGGTATCCGATTGGCTGGTGGAAATGATGTAGGAATATTTGTTGCTGGAATTCAAGAAGGTACCTCAGCAGAACAGGAAGGCCTACAAGAAGGAGATCAGATTCTTAAGGTAAATGAGCAGGAGTCAGTTTTTGTGACTGCGGAAGTGTTTTTTAATACAATTTGAGAGAGAAATTGTTTTATTTTAATATTTATGACTATGAAAGTACTTTTAAGAATATGCATTAGGAAATATGATTGGAGTGAATCCAAGGCTTCTCTCAGCAGTACTTTCTTTTTGCCATGCCTTCCATTAGGACAGTGAGATCTTTATCTGTTCAGTTGTGGGCTTTTTCAGTGATTATCTTCCTCGTCTTCCTTCAGAAAAGCCTGTAATGCTGCATATTTAGTCTTTTAAGGGTAGATGGAATTTTACTGGCTGTTGATGTTTGTATCTGGTTGATAACATTTCATTCTTGGCATTTGTTCCACTTATATCTTTGTATATTTTAAAAATGTGTCCTGTGATACATTTTGCAGCAAGCAATATTAGGAACCTTTTGTGGGAGGAAAAGTGTGTGTGGGGGTACGTTTCACTAAACAACTAAATAGCTTCCATGTACAGGAAGAGTTCATGGAAGCTGGTTGTTGTTGTTTTCATCTGCTTCATCCAGAGCTTCCTCGAAATGCTTGCTGATGAGGGATGGAAACTCTCCAGAACTGTATGCTATGTAGCATGGAGGGCTGTAGTACAAAGGGGGAAAGCAGCCAAAATCTTTCTTAATATTGTGAGCTCTTTTGGGAGTGGGTGGGTGAGTAGCCATTTCTGCAAGTAGCCATCCATTCACGGAAGCCTTGAGTACAGCCTGCTTTTAGATCAAATGTTAATTATCAACTGGGGTAATCTTGACAATGCAGTGGAACGATAAAACCAGGGAGAAAATGACTGGTCTTGCCATGTTATCCAGCCGTCTCTTTATTGTGGGTATCACCCAACACTGGTCTTGCCATGTTACATACATAGCCTTAAAAGTATGGATAGACCAAATCAGCAAATCCCCTGATTAGCCCCATAGACTTTCCTGAGACAGAGCATCTTTGATCATTACCAGACATGCTAAAACAATGTAAATAACTTGTTCCTAATATCTCATCTTAGTCCTGCTTTTTTGTAACATCCAAAAGCAGCATCTAAATTCATATAGTAAGATTTAGGGTTGCTGTAAACAAAGTAGTTGCACAAAAACATGTTCTTATTTCCCTCCCACAAACCTCTTTTCATCCTTAGTTTGTTTCATTTGGTGTGCATAGAATTTATAAGATGTCCATAGATTCCCCCTCCCCCCGTTCCTTGAACCCCTCAGCAGGTATTAGATACCCTTTGAATCTGTCTGTCTAATCTCATTTTTTTCCCATTCAAGAACATTCCCTTTTATTAGTCATTGATGCTAGATTTCTGCTTCCCCCTTTCTACTAATTGTGGCTCTGGAATAGATCTGGGAAGACTTCTGGAGAGCTGTTTATCTTCTGATCCTGTGTTAAGTGTAACTATCTTAAAAGGCCTTCCGCTAGAGCTATTTTATTATGCATTTTTAACCTGTTCCTAAGCATTTTTTTCCATTGTGATATCCTCCAGGTTAGCTGGCCTCATTTTGGACTTTTCATAAATTCTGGGTGAGTTCAAAGCCCATTCCTGCATGTGCTCTCCAGAGTTAAAGAGGTTAGCCTCCTCCTAAGTAGCATAGCTTAGCTCTGGATCAAGCAAGGACGTCTCATCACTGATGCTTGGATGCAAGACCTTGCTTTTAGGAAAAGTGTGGCAACTAAACTTGGCATTTCCCAACCTTCAGTAATTTGTAAAGTGTTATCTTAAAGTCTGTGTTTGGCATAAAAATGAGCTTCCTGTACCCTTTCTTTTTGACATCTATATTAGAGGAATTCTTGCTCTCAAAACTTCTGTCTGGTTATTTTGCCATCAGGTAAACAGTCAAGATTTCAGAGGTATTGTTCGAGAGGATGCTGTTTTGTACCTGCTGGAAATTCCCAAAGGTGATACAGTGACCATTCTGGCTCAAAGCAAATATGATGGTAAGCACTTGGTATACAACAACAGACTGCAAGTACACACGCTCACAAGTAAAAGTGATTGCATGCGCCCCCTGCATTTAGAAAGAACTCAGATTGTCTTTAAAACTAGTAGACTGCAAGGAAAAGGATGAAGTAGATTTTTGGCTTACTTATTTATCTGCATATGGCCAGCGTTAGTAATTCCTTCTTCTCCTTCCTGCTGTTCTCAGTATCTGGCTTTTATGAAAGATTAGGGTTTAGGAACAAAGTTGTTTTTATTTGTTAAATGAATGTCAGTGGGCAGGTTTCATTAGGTTTGGTTTTATATCATTTGTGCAGTTTTCTACTTACCTCCTCAAATTTTGTACCACTGGTTCCCCTCCCCACCCCCTTCCTTTTCAGCAGCCCTGGAGGTGAGTGAGAGGGTTGTGAGCCCCCTCTGGCTTTCTTAAACTTTGTTGGCAGACCTATCGATTTAGACAGACTTAACTAGATGCAGTCTCTTTCTCTCTTTTCCAGTTTATAGAGACATAATGGCCTGTGGCAGAGGAGATTCTTTCTTCATAAGGACTCATTTTGAATGTGAGAAGGAAACTCCACAGAGTTTAGCATTCACCAGAGGGGAAGTGTTCAGAGTAGTTGACACTCTGTATGATGGAAAGCTGGGTCACTGGCTGGCTGTGAGAATTGAGAGTGAATTGGAAAAAGGTCTGATTCCAAATAAAAGCAGGTATGTTAATCTCTTGTAAATTTAAAATGTCTTGAATTGCTCTTTTTATCCAGTTTCCAACATTCTGTCTAACTCTTATTGTGATCAAGAAAAGAACCCAAGATGAGGGCATGCAGAAAGAAGTCTTGGTTCTTGTTAATGGGGCAAACAATGAGATGGCCACAGTCCAGAGAACTTACAATGTATGAATCATACAACTGTGATGAAGAAGCATTCACAATTATTTATCTAAAGATGTTATACATAATTTTTGGTCAGAAGAAGACACATTGTCGAAACGGCAGCACCAATCCGGAGACCACCGTCCCACCTTTTCACTTCTGTTCTATTGTATTAATTCTTGTAATAATCACATTCAGAAATTAATGTTTTGTATAACATCTTTAGATAAATAATTGTGAATGCTTCTTCATCTTGTTAATGGGGGCCAAGAAACAGAGTTTGCACCTACCTATGGTAACACTAAATTGAATCTCTTTGGTGCCATATGAATGAGTGGTGATTTTTATTCCTGTAGGAATAAATGAAGAAAAAGCCTGTCTTTGATGATCTTTTACAACAAGAACAAAGCCTGTCTTTCACCTGTGATAGTGGGTGGCCTGGGCCTGACCCAGTAGGGATCCCACGAGACAGATGTAATAGCTCTGTGTTCACCACACCACCATTCAAGATTCTTTCAGTCCTTTACACAATGTGTATTTTACTGATCAGTTTTAAAGTACTTTGTGACAGGGAAAACACCTTTCAATCTTTAGTCTCAACCATCTTTAAGGTGCTTTACTTGGCTTAAATACATTTGCAGTTGCCTAGCCCAGAAAAGAATGAAAGAAGTTGGGGGGGGGGTTCTATTACCTAAATGAACAGCCTTCTAGATCTGAAGCTTATCTAATGTGTCGTTATCTATTCTTTTTTTCTCTTCTGACTGCCCCCCAAAAAAAACGTTCTCCCAAAATATATGAGGAGGAGGAACAAAGTAAGAGTTGGATGGGACTGTTAGCCCGCACCCAGAAGAGTAGATTAGAAGCTCTGATGCAGTGTGTTTTTTCTACCTATGATTTTCTATGCTGTCTTGATTTTTTTGCAAATGGATAAAATGCTGTCTTTCTCAGAGCTGAACAGATGGCCAGTGTTCAAAATGCACAGAGAGATGGCTCCAGTGATAGGGCAGACTTCTGGCGAATGCGTGGTCAACGATCTGGAATGAAAAAGAATCTGAAGAAGAGCCGTGAAGATTTGACAGCAATAGCATCTGTTAGCACTCGGTTTCCAGCCTATGAGCGAGTTATGCTCCGGGAAGGTCAGTGAGTGGCAGCATACAAGAACTCTTAACTGGTTTCTTCATTCGTAAAAGACAGCTACTGTTCTTTTTTCTGGCAACTTGTTTAAGCCTAGCCAATCAGCTTTGACCTGAGGCAAGCAGCAAGTGGTAAAGTCTGTTCTCAGTTAAGACCATATTTTGACCTGTCTAAAAACATTTCAGTTGTACGTATGAAACTGTTCAGAGGCCTAAAAAATCTTTAATGCAAATTCACATGGTACATGCACACACACACACACGCACGCACACACCCCCCCCTTAATATATGTCATGGACTGTTAAATGGTCTGAGGAATACTGAGTAGCATTCATTTGATTACTGTGGGAAAATCTAATTATTTGTGCATGTTTCTACAGTTGATAAGTGGAGCCAAGAAAAATAGTGTATGTGATTGAGACCCTGCAGTTGTAGTAAGTGAATAATATGGGCTTGGTGTGTCTGCAGCTGCCCTCAATTAGACTGACTCATCACTATGTCTAATTGTAGAGTGGACAATTTCCAGGCTACTAATAAATCTGGGTCTCCTGCAGACAAAGGTTCCTAGTTGGGGGCTTCCCAGGAAAAACATGACTTTTTAACTTGAATAAGAAGAGCTGAACCAATGAAGCCAAGGAATGTAGAAACAGAACAGTGGTGCTGTGGGAATAAATTTTATTCGCTCTGTATACCCCCAGTGCGTTTTGGCTCAGTGCTTCCTCAGGGGGATCTGCACTGTTTCAGTGTCAGTTTGAGAATAACACTGACATTTTGAAATGGTGCAGATCCCTCTGAGGAAGCGCTGAGCGAAACGCGTTGGGGTATATAGAGTGAATAAAATTTATTTCCACAGCAGCACCGTTCTGTTTCTTCATTTTTTAAAAGTTAACAAAATAAGTCCTACCCTGTCTTCAAATGACTTAATGACAACTGAGTGTGTCCAGGAGATGTGGAATGTTAAGAGAAGTTAATTGCTTGCTTATTTTCAAGAAAACAACCTTTTAAATTCCTTGTTAGAACTAAATCATGTTTATGTGAGTATGAATCTGCTTGCATTGGAAAGTAAGCCGTGTGAGCTGGCAGTCTTGTTTTAACATTTGCATTTATTTATACAGACCAACTTTAGCCAGGGTATGATTTTAGAAACACTGCATTGATGATAGATGGTTAGGTGATTCAGCAGCTTTGCATAAACTAAGTAGCACTGTGTTGGATAACGGTTCAGGGGGGAAGATCACCTAGGAACTGTATGTACGGTGCCATAATGGAAGAGAGGGCAGGCTATTTTTTAAAAAGCAGAGCATGAATAAAGAAAACAGATTAGCAAAGCCCACCATTCCTTCTTTTTTTAATCATGGGACTTTCCTGAAGAAGTACCTAAGAAACCTCCCCCCCCCCCCGATTTAAGAGCCTCTTCACAGTTAGAATGCAAACAATTAGACACAGGAGTTAAAATACTGGAATGTAAGCTTAATAATTTTCTAGTGCTTTAGAACAAATTAGTGTAGTGTTGCTTAATGTGGAGTAATGGATTTATTTGATACAGCAAATATTATTTCAAATAATGGTATCAGGTACAGCTGCAGGCAAGTCCCATTGGGATGGGAACTTTGTTTTATAATTGTGAAAAACTTTTTTTACTTAGAGAACAAAACAAGTACACAAAGGTTATGTATATTTCAAAGATATTAAATACAGCCTTGTTATATGTCATTTTTATTTACAGCTGGTTTTAAGAGGCCTGTGGTGCTGTTTGGTCCTATTGCAGACGTAGCAATGGAGAAGCTGTGCAATGACTTACCCGAGCTCTATCAAGCTGCCAGTGAGTCTGCCCGTTGCTCTGTTCTTAACAGGATTCAACATTTGATGGTCCATTTTTTTAAAAAAATCATTAGACAAATGACAGCATGTATTACTCTTTGCAGAAACAGAACCTAAAGATGCAGGCTCAGAGAAGTCCACTGGCGTAGTGCGCTTGAACACTGTGAGGCAAATTATTGAACTGGTAAATATCTTCTGCTCTGTTTGCTTTCCATCATAATCAGAGCAAAGAAGCAGATATTAACAGTGCTGGTAAGAGCTTCCACCACCCCCTTCCTTTTTGATGTGTGTATTTTCTTCCTTCTAACAGGGCAAACACGCTTTGTTGGACGTGACTCCAAAAGCTGTGGATCTGTTAAATTACACTCAGTGGTTCCCCATTGTCATTTTCTTCAACCCAGACAGCAGACAAGGAGTGAAAATCATGCGGCAAAGGCTAATTTCCACATCTAACAAAAGCTCACGGAAGCTTTATGACCAGGCAAATAAACTAAAGAAGACTTGTTCATATCTTTTTACAGGTAGGTGTAAATAGATGGCATGTCTTGTTTCCCGTGACAGCCCTTAGCTGCAAAGGGGCATGTAAAAGGAAGTTCTTGAAGAAATTTTGGTATCACTTTACTGAATTATATTGACATACACTCTCAATTATTTGTTGCCCTGAAGATCCTACTGAAGTCTGTTGGAACTGGGTAAAGGTAGACTTCTAACTATGTATAGGCTAACACCTTTGTCTCCTGAGAGACCATTCCATCAGTTTTAGTTTAATTGCGTTTTGCCCACCACATTCAAATACCATCCCCCAAATCCAATTAAATAACTACTGTGTGGGGAAAAAAACTCCATCTTTCTAGCAGATAACATAATACACATCCAAGATTTTCAAATATCTTGAAAAATGCTGTAAAGATCCAGACTCAGTGTAGGAAGGCCAACCATGATGTTAAACAACTGAAAGGTAATTTAGATAATGAAGAATATATATTCTAAATATGAGTGCATTTAGTAACAGAATATGTTGCCTTGTGGAGGAGGCTACATAATTTCTACACTTTCCTTGAACACATGGCTCAGCCATTCTGAATGCAGGGTTACAGTACCAGATGCGGAACACTATTCTGAACTCTAGAAGCACCGCCCATCAGGTCGTACACCTCAGAAATCCTTATTGAAATACAAAGTTTCTGGATTTTAAAAATTGTTTCATTGTGTTTAACCACAACCCAGTCATTGGAAATTATACTTTTCATTTGGCTGGTGCAACTACATATGACCTGCAGGAGGACTCTAACACTGTGAAGGAAAGGGTGTAACTGCCTTTCTTTTCCCAATATCTTGCCCAATTGAAAACATCTTTTAAAATTATGCAGTGAACATCTGGCTATAGGAAGCTATTATTTTGCACAATTCTCTAATTTTATATTTTTGTAAATCTTGGCAGCAACCATCAATTTAAATTCAGCTAATGACAGCTGGTATGGCAGCCTTAAAGATACTATTCAGCAACAACAGGGTGAAGCAGTGTGGGTTTCAGAAGGAAAGGTATGTAGTGTACCACTTTGTTTTGTGTATGTGAAGATATGAGTACTATCAAAAAGGCAGCATTCATCTAGACGTCCTGTACAAAGATGTGTTCCATGAATACTAGGGATTTGCCACTATGTGAACAGAAGGTTCCTCCACTCATAGAACATAAATGCTCCTTAGGGATGGTCAGCAATAGTCCTAGACAATTGGTTGGAAAATTGGGTTGAAATATTTTCAATTCATGTGCATGTTGTTCTTGGTAGTGAAATTGAGGGCCATAACTGCTCTTTGAAATGCTTGCCATTACTTACACTAGAACAATTTTTATACAGTCTGCTTTCTAGAACACTTGCTTATTGGTTTTCCTTGTCGCATTGCATAATATTTTCGACACAAATCTTCTTTGCAGCTAGAAGGAATGGATGACGACATTGAAGATCGCATGTCATACTTAACAGCTATGGGTGCTGACTATCTGAGTTGTGACAGCAGATTGATCAGTGACATGGAAGACACAGATGGTGAAGGCGGCGCATACACTGACAATGAGCTTGATGAACCATCCAGTGAACCAAGGGTCTCATCCATTAGTCGTTCTTCAGAACCTGTGCAACATGAGGAGGTGAGGGGTCCAGAAATAAAATTGTATTCCTTTCCTGAAAATGTGCTTAACATTGACATAAATTATCAGTTGAAATGGTATCTGAGAAGCTCTAGAGGAAAACTCTAAAGTAGTGCCACTTTACATCACAGCACACTTGTATACCAGCTAATATCTAGACAGTTATGGTTTAGCATGGTTGAATGACTTTAAAGAATACCAAATTTCCTTCAAATTAATTTGTTAGAAAATTAATGCTTGTGGGTAGAAGCTGTACAAGTCAAATGCGGCAACTGTTGTCTATAGGAAGAGGCAATTATGGTATCTTCTTGTTCTCTTTTGGACTATTAGAATAGTGTGTGCTGTAGATTAAAAAGTTGTTTCACAGACAGGACAGACAAGTAAACCCAATCCATACATAGAGTGGCCTCCAAAATAAACCTGCTCCCATGCAATTGTGAGATTCTGAATTCATGAAGGAGAAAACCTACCAGAAATAAATGAACCACAGAGCAGTCCTGTCTGTAAATCACTGTCTCAATTGCAGTAATAAATACAATAATGCTTGACAAAGTTTGAGTCCAGTGGCACCTTTAAGACCAACAAAGTTTAATTTTGGGTATAAGCTTTCGTGTGCTGTTGCTTCAGATCAACACAGCTACCCTCCTCAATTATTCTTAACAATTATTCTTCTGCTAGAAGCTGCAAAATTGAAATTTATATATTTCTCAAACAAGTTATATATATGGGTTTATGTTTAATGGGCTACTACCTGTTGTAGAGTTTAAGGAAACCCAGTCCTGAACCAAGAGCTCAAATGAGAAAAGCTGGTAGCAGAGAAGTTTTAAGAGATCCCAGCCCTCCTCCAGCATTCAAGCCTGAACCACCTAAGGTAATTTTGAGAGAAAATACATACAATAATTCTTTCCCCCCACAATTTACCATTATTTATTTCCATACAAACTAATACATATATTATATGATCATTTTCATGAAAGCAAAAACAAAGTAAAGCAGTAGTAATAATTATACTAGGGATATCATCTATATAATCAACAATCATGGTCTTTATCCAACAACTGTTCTGTAAAATCACAGAACATTACACCTTAATGTTTTCTTTGTTGTGGTCTATGACAGCCATATAGACTGGCAAGGCTGAGGAGAACAGAAATGCTTGTTTGATCATTTGATGCTATTTTTTATAGTGTTTTCCTTGTATAGTTTTAACACACAACAAACTTTTCAGACTAATACCTTAGAGGTGGCAAAATTGTTAGCGAGTAGAAAGGCAATTTTCTCGTACATCTATGAGATCTGGAAACTCTAGTATGTTACTCAGACCATAAACAGCCATATAGCTGTACAATACATACAATATTTTCAAACTCTATAATGGTTCAAAAATATATACATGGATGTACACCCTCCTCACGTTTATTATTCCAAAACATAATAAAAATATCCAGTACTTCAAGAATTTATCCTCATGCAAATCACCACCCAAGATACTTTTAGAATATGTTAATTTAGTAAAATAAGTGATCTTCCAAATTCTGTAGAGCCATTCAGATATTGTAGGGAACTCTACATGCTTCCAGTAGCTAGTAATACACCTTCTAGCAGCAATTATAAGATTGGTCTCCAACTCTGAATCTTCAATCACCTCTTTAAAATAGCATAACAGAATAACTAGCATAAGAGGGGATTTCATAACTAATAATCTCATCAGTTATACTGAGAACCAAACCTCTGTATTCCAGTACATTCCCAAAAGATGTGGGATTGGTCTGTCCCTGGAGAATAATATCTCCAACAAATATCTATGGGTATATTGTAAATTCGAGCCAATTTATATGGGGTTAGGTACCAATCATATAGGAGCTGTGGTGGCTCAAGTGGTTAAGATGCTGAACTGTAGGATGTGGAAAGTCGATAGTTCAGCAGTTTGAGACCCAAGTTGCCACATGGCGAAGTGAGCTCCCATCTCTACTTCCAGCTCCTGCCAACCTAGCAGTTCGAAAGCAAGAAATTGCAAGTAGATAAAGAGATACCACTTCAGTGGGAAGGTAACAGCGTTCCGTGCGCCTTGGTCACGGCAATGTCTTTGGACAGCGCTGGCTCTTCGGCTTTGAAACGGAGATGAGCACCGCAACCCTAGAGTCAGATTCAACTGGCTTTCGAGCAAGGGAACCTTTACCTTTACTTTACCAATCATACAGGATCTTATAAAAGTTCTCTTTACAGTCACTGGAGATCAACTTCTTTTGGTATTCTCTTTCCGTTCCATGCCCATTCACTAGTTGTTATCTCTTCTCCCAGCCATCGTTCCCACTTCCTCAGTTGTTTATCAAACGCTACCTCTTGATTAAAAAACAATGTATACAAATCATGCACTTTCCCAGGCACTGAGCTGTCATTTTTTTCAAAAATTGTTTTCTGCATTCACCTGATTTCTCTCAATTTTCACTGCTTTGACCTCAGCTCTAAAGTTTCCTTCTACAGCAGGAAAGAAATTCAGCTGTGCTTTATCCATCTGTTTTTTCCTTTGCACAAAATATCGTTGATCAGTTTATAAACTTTTAATTTATTTATGTATCATTTTCTGTGGCAAGACTGATTTTTGCATGATTAGCAGTGTCCTATGCATTACCTCTACTTGTAGTCTAGGAATCATAGGTTTTATCAGGTGTACAACCAGTTTTTGATTGGTGGTTTCAGTATCAAAACTGCTACTTGTATATAAACACATGAAACTGTATTTGCTTGACATTCACAGGGTAAATTGCAGAACAAAGAAGATCCGTATGATATTCCTAAGAATTATGAAGCCAGAACAAACAGCCCTAATACTGCAAGCAGTGAAACTTTGGGATTATCTGCTAAAGCAGCTCCTCCACCTATAGCTCTCAAGCCTACCTTTGGGCGTCCTATATTGAAACCCTCTCAGCCCATGGTTCCACCAAATGAAGTGGAGGAGAGAACAGAGGTTGTTGAAGAGGCACAAGAGAACACGCCAAAGTCTGTGCTGGGGAAGGTTAAAATATTTGAGAAAATGGATCATAAGGCAAGGCTTCAAAGAATTCAGGAACTGCAGGAAGCACAGAATGCCAGGGTATGAAGAGAAATTGCTGGTAAACTCTGTGCTGTTCATTTGTTTAGACAGAGTAAGACAATTGTTGCCATAGTTGAACAAAATACAGTAAAAAAAAACCCTCTTGCGTTATACAGGCAGATTCAAAATATTCCATTCTTTTACTGTTTCCCCACATGCCAAAAATGGTTCAACTCTGAAGAATGCTCCATTGCTATTAAGAACACATTTAACAGCACAGAATAGCTTTGTTCTCTGTTGCTTTATATCATTTTTAAAACAGTGTGACTTTCTGTAAAGTACAGAAACAGAGCATCTAACGGAGCTGCAGCCCATTGCATTAAATCACATTAAGTGACTTCATTCATCTATCAGTTAAGGAGAACCCTGAAAATGATCTGATAACGTGTTGTCTTTTTTCCAGGTGGAAATAGCTCAGAGACACCCGGACATTTATGCTGTCCCCATCAAGACACAGAAGCCAGAGCAGACTGCAAGGTAACAAGCTACTATTTTGTATGTGGCCGTGTATGATTTTTAAGGTTTTATGCTTGTAAACCCAGACTAGCCTGCTCTTGTCATATCTTCGAAGCTAAGTCACAGTTCTCTCAGAACTCTCTCAGTCCCACCTACCTCACAAAAGGAGCCTGTTGCGGGGAGAGGAAGGGAAGGAGTCTGTAAGCCGCTTTGAGACTCCTTAAGATAGGGGAAAGTGGGGTATAAAAACCAACTCTTCTTCATTTATGGTAGCTAGTTTTACGATCATGTTTATTTTTGCCCTTATACATTCTGTACAGAAGATGAGATTGTCATCATCATTGTACTCAAACAAAAAATTTAGCCTTGACCTGGATAGCACAGGCTAGCCTGATCTCATCAAATCTTGAAAGCTAAGGAGGGTGGGCCCTGGTCTGTACTTGGATGGGAGACCACCAAGGAAATCTAGGGTCACCATGCAGAGCCAAACAATAGGAAACCACCTCTGAATGTCTCTTACAGTGAAAACCCTATGGCAGGGGTGGCCAAAGTGTGGCTCTTTCACACATATTGTGTGGCTCCCGGCAGGGTGGCTGGGGAAGCAAAGGAGAGGCATGCCTCCCTGATTGGTCTTCCCTTCCTCAGCCAGTGTTCCCCTCCCTGGATAGGCTTGAGATGGGAGGAGGAGCAGAGAAAGAAAGCAACTTTAAATTTGTCTCTTTAAATCCCTTCTCCAAGCCAGCTGGCGTGGGGGGGGGGCTAGGAAGGAGCATTTAAAGTTAAAGTTGATTTCTTTCTACCTTCCTTTCTCTCTGTTTCTCTCTCTTCCCTCCTTCCCCATCTAAAGTTAAATGTGTTCTTCAAACCCTGCCCCACTGCCACACCTGTCAGCTGGCTTGGCTTAGAGAATGCATTTTTCTCTTTAAATCCCTTCGCCAAGCCGGCTGGCTGGCGTGGGGGCGGGGGTTCAGGAACACATTTAAAGTTACAGTTGTTTTCTTTCCACCTCTCCCTCCCCCCCATCTATTTGCTTTCTTGCCACCTTTCTTTCTCTCTTCCCCTTCCATCCGTCCGTCCTTCCTTCCCCATCTATTTGCTTTCTGTTTTTCTTTCGCTTTCTCTCTCTTTCCACCTCTCTCTCTCTTAGACAAATATAATTAGCAAACAAATACATATATTGGACAAATAAATATCATTATCAATATCTGGTTTTATTATGATTATTTATTATATTTCTGAATCGCCCCCCCCCTGCTACTGCAGGGCTCTGGGCAATGTACAACCCAGAATAAAACAATTAAAACCTTAGTATAAAAACAAACAGATGGTGAATAACCAGTCCTCCTTCCAACTCCAACTGCCAGCTACTTCGTGGACTGAGGGAGGAGGGCAAAATAGATGTAGACAGGGGTCATTTAGTAGAAAAAGAGGTGCAGGAGCTCATTAGCATAACCCATTAGTATAACTTATTTGCGCATGCCACAAGGCAACACCCACCACTCAGGGTCCACTGGACTCTTTTGGATTGCTAGCTATTGGGGGGGCGTGCAGATCTGTCCTCACAGAGGAGGGAGAGTTTGTACCTGAATAAAACTTGGTCTTAAAGGTGCCACTGGACTGTTTTGGACCGGAGAGCCCAGGGGGGGCTCTGCAACTTACCTGGCTGCTTCTTGCTTTGACTGAGGGCTGCTGGGAGCAGGGGGTGGGGCTTGTTGCATGTGCCCGCCCCCTGGGCTCTTTACTGCCAGAGCTCCGCTCCTGTGCTCTCCTGCAGGAAATGACCCCTGGATGTAGATAACTAGGGAATGGGAAGGGTGCCAGCCAAGATGGAACCATCACTGTCCTCAACCAAAAGCCTGGCGAAATATCTCTGCCTTACAGGCCCTGTGGAATTGCATCAGATCCCGCAGGGCCCTGATGGAATTTGGCAGAATTCCACCAGGTTTGGACCAGGACCAAAAAGATGTCTTTAGGGCCGGGGATCACCAGTAGATTGCTGTCTAAGGAGCGCAAAGCTCTCCTGGGGACATAATGGAGGAGATGGTCCCGTAGATACATCAGTCCCTGACCACTCAAGGCCTTATAGGTCAATACCCCTTTTGTTTTTGTTTTTATTGTCTCATTTAATATTAATAAAAAGCAAATCTGTATATTTTTTCAATTAAAAGTTGTGTGTAATATTTGTTCTCAAACATCTGATATTTATTCTATGTGGCTTTTACGTTAAGTTTTTACATTAAGCAAGTTTGGCCACCATGGGGTCTCCATAAGTCAGTTGTGTTTGGGTGGCATGATAATAATAAAGAAATTATTTTTAATTGTAACATTTTATGAGCATTTGGTAGATAAGGAAGCTGGTTAGACACCAGTAACCTGTAGCATTCACAACCTAGGAAATATTACTTCCTTCCTTTGTCGGGAATAGCATGTTCAATGGTAACTATTTTTAATTAACATATTGGGTTGCAGCACCACTAGAGAAAAGGTAGTATGAATCAAAAGAGAAGGAAGAAAAGGAAAGTTAATTGTTATTCAACATAAACTTGCGTGGAACTATAAAGGAAGGTTACATATGTGGCCACAAACAAGTCTTGTGAATATTTCCAGTGTTCTGTAGGATTGGAAAGCTCCAGAATGGCTAGTTCTAAGTGAGGGCTGATCTGAAATGTTACTGCCTCCATCTTGTAAGCTCTACCTAAAAGATCTTTCCTGTGGCAGTATTCAGTACAGAAGGAGTAATGGCTGGAGACTTTTTGCCATGTGTGCCAGCAGCTTGTCTCAGCAGATTATGAAGTGCTGTTAAATGAGAGCAGATTGTCAACTGCAGTATTTAATTTCAGGTTTTATTGTTGACTAGGAAAAAGGCCCGTTGTGGAAATAAATACAACGGCCTCTAGAAAGAGACTCTGGGCGGGTGCCCCGGCCTTGGACACTCAGTGTCAATTTGCTGTGGTGACCTCAGCAGGGTATAATGACACTGAGTCCACCATTTTCTCCAGAGGAACTGATCTCTGCTACTTAAAGAACAGTTGTAATTTTGAGTGCTCTCCAGTTCTCACCTGAAGATTGCCAACGATGGTTCCCCAGAAGGGAATAGTTGGTTTGGAGGGGGGAGTCTATGGCTTTGTACCTGTCCGAGATCCCACGCCTCCTGAAACCTCACTCTCTCCAGGCTCCATCCCTCACATCTCCAGGAATTTCCCCCCTGTGGGGGGGGGGGGAGGAACAGCAAACTGTTTAGAATGTTGGAGGCAGGACTCAGGCAAAGCAGCCAGTGGATAGGGAGACCCTCTGAATGACAGATCAGAGAGCGAACTGATTTTGGAGCGTGTGGAATGTTCTAGAGAAGTGCCACCACCATTCGGCTTTTATTTATAAGGGAGATGTGGCAGTTGTATTACATTGTGTCTACAATACAACAAAAATGTAAAAAGAATGCTATATAAATATATCACTGTGGGGGGCAGGAGTGTGTGATATTTAGATTTTCTGTCTTGGGCAGCAAAATGTCTTCCATGATATGTGGATGCTGAATGTGTGTGTGCATGGAGGGGGTTAGACTTACACAGAAGACAATTTCATTATCCTCATGGGGAAGCGCTTTTTCGCAGCGCTTACATGGATGTGGTAAGCTTTTGGGGCAACCTTGGAAGTTGCCAGAAAAATGCTTTCTGCTAGTGAAAGATCTGCTTAAAATATCTTTTTCCTGAGCATTGTATCAAAACTAACTTAGTTTATTTTGTTATATTAGTTCCAGACCTCCAGAGCCTCAGAAACCACCTGCTAGATCTTACCTCGATAAACAGGGAAGTTATGGCAGTGATGCAGAGGAGGAAGACTATCGAAGGCAGCTATCAGACCAGTCTAAACGTGGATACTATGGACAACAGACTAGATACAGGGATACCGAATTATAGGTTTATGCAGAGCGACCATTGTTTTGTGAGACAGTTGCCCAGCCAAAATGGAGCCCTGGATGGTTTCAAAAGGTGTGTCCTTGAGGTTACTAGCAAACTTAAGCTGTATCTACACACTGGAATGGCAGAACTGAAGTTCATGTAAATATTGGAGAAAAGGAATCACGATTGCCTGAATGCTGTTGCCTAGTTTACAAAACAACCAAAACAAAAATCTATTTTAAGAGTTTGTATTAATTTCTGATATCTTGTATTTTTAACATTCTCTCTTCTGTATTAAAATTGCCTTTTTAACTATTGTGACACAATGAAAACTTGACAAAATACCAGGCTTTAGTACAAGAAAAACAAAATAAGTGCCTTTTTAACGAAGTGTCTTTAGTTGTTTTGTGACATCTGATGCTTGTGCAAAGCCATAATGTTTCTTTTGCCTAACTTTTGTATGTTTCATGGCTACAATCTCCTCCCTGGATGTTATTTTTCTACATTAAATAGATCTATATACATTTTTTTCATAAATAATGATTTTAAATATGAAATGGTTACTATGTAGGCTGACCACTTGCAAGGCTGAGAAAGCACCAAGATTGAAAAAATTATGTAGAAACGTAATTTGTGTCTTAAACCTTTAAATGTCACAACATAATAAAGGTATATATTATATAAAATGTTGGTATTCAGCCTTTTGTTTTAAAAACTAAATAATCTAATTATGCTTTGGCTAGTAACAAATTCTGTTCTTTCTATGGAATGGAAATAGGACGTTTAATCTAAATTTCTGCTTTTGGTCACCTAGTAGCAATGCTTCCCCCCCCCTTCTCCCCTTGCAATACATAATCTGCCCAAAATAATTTATTTGGAAAAGCTGAAGAATGTCAGGATATTTAATGTATGCCTGTCTCATTTATAACTACATTGTAGTCTGCATGAGGTCTAAATGCAGGGGAGATCACATCTCTATATTATGGTAATCTTATGCTTTTATGGGGGTTTATCGCTAATAGACCTCAATATGAACTCTACAGTGCCAATGCTGCTGTATGAGAGAAAATGGTTACAAATGTGGGTGTTTGTTTGCCTACTGTAACTTCATCTCATTTTTTGTTTGTTTGTTCTGTTTTAACTCTGAACTCATTGAAACTTTTCCATTCTGGTAAAGGGGTGGTTGATATAAACAATGGATTTAGTCATTACCTCATAAGACAAATTGTTACTGGGTTTATTCACTATATATAGCTTTCCATTACTGCATGAACAACCCATTTCCCTAGCTGATGGATATACAAAGTGGTGTGTTCGTTCTCTTATCTTGGTGCTTCTCAAAATCAACAGGCCAAGGACTCCATTTTGTGAATGTACACTTTTGTTCTTATGTGGGGCTAACAAATGTGGCAAAAAAGTAGAATTCAAACTTTTTCTCACATTAACTTTGATGGAACTGGGCCTAGAGAATAATCTTAAGAACATCTGTTGCTGTGTTCATTTCAGAAACTAAATGGGTTTGAGTTTGGGACATTGGGAAAACCCAGATATGCTGCTTCTGAATTCATGAGTCGAAAAGGCAGCATAAAAATGTAAGAAATTATGTGTATTTCCATTATTTATAAACTATAATTTAGCCTTTACTTTTGGTTTCAACTGTTACTTTGCATCAATTAACATTCTTTGGAGCCTGGACTTACAATACAGGTACTGCAGAGTTTATGCTGCTGACATGACATAGCAAGTGACCCCTATCCCAGATGTGAGTTGTAGCATTATTCATCACATGAATCTATGTCAAGGCTCCATGTTTTTTGTGACTTCTGCTGCCAGGGCCATGAGACTTGCAACATGATAGCAGAGAGCTACACAGTGTGTTATGTGCAGGATGACAGTACTAATGGATGCTCTGGCACTTAGAATAGCTATTGGTGGTTCTAAAGATGTGGCAGTGAATGTGAAGAAAAACAATAATTGCAATTATCCTAGAAACACAATAAGTAACAGTAAAGACTGGATCCAGGTAACTATATCAGAAACACAATAAGTAACAGTAAAGACAGTAAAGACTGGATCCAGGTAACTATATTCAGTACCTCCATTCTTATGACAGCTTTCCTTCCCACGTGGCTTTTGCATATGTAGGTCCCATGATCATCCAGCATAGCCTCTTCTGGAGGTTAAAGGGGAGCCCTCCTTCCTTTACACCAGCTGAAAAGCTGGTTGAATCCAGCCCTATAGGAATTTGGGCAGGAAGAGAAATGTTAGAATAAAGGCAGAGTAAAAAGTGCAACTGATATGTACTTCTTTTCCTGCTGTTGCTTAGAACAGCTCAGATCACTGAGATATGCCAGACGACAATGCTCGTGGTCTTGGTGTCCAGAATGCAGCCTGGCTTCAACCACCAATAAGAGAAGGTGTACTAAGCATGGTGTTTGCTTTTAGTAGGCAAAACTAGAATTAATTCAAATCTGAGGTGACAGTGTAATTCCATATAATGTGTTACAGAAAACTTGGTTAATGTTTATTTTGGGCTTTGCCCTTGGGTCTCACCCGTGTCCTCTAGTCCCATGTTGCACTCCAGTAGACCTCTTGTGCCATCACTGTGGCTTGGGAACCACATGCGGCTCTTTCACACATATTGTATGGTTGTCAGCAGGCTCCCCATCTATTTGCTTTCTTTGTTTCTTTTTCTCTCTCCCTTCCTTCCTTCCTCCCTTGCTCCCTCCCCCATCTATTCGCTTTCTTTCCATCTTTTTCTCTCTTTCTTCCTTCCCTCATCTATTTGCTTTCCTTGTTTTTCTCTCTTTCTCTCAGACAAATAAATATCATTAGCAAACAAATATCATTGAACAAATAAATATTATCAATATCTGTTTTTACCCCTTTTTTATTTTTGGGAATCTCGTTTAATGTTAATAAAAAGCAAATTTGGATATTTTTCAATAAAAACGTGTGTAATATTTATTCATGTCTTGCGGCTCTCAAGCATCTGATGTTTATTCTTTGTGGCTCTTACGTTAAGCAAGTTTGGCCACCCCTAGTCTAACATAACATTTACTAAGTGTGTTAGTGCATTGAGGTGTTGTGCATTTTATAGATGCACCAGGTATAAATTCATCAGTGCATATGTAGCAAGTACTTGGGGAAAATGCCATTGTAAAATGTCTGCCTACCCAAAAGATCAAGGTAGGGAGTTAATTTGTAAGTCAACATAATATGTGAAACTGAACAACATGTTTACTACACTCTTAGATTAGCTGTGAATTTGTATAAGTGCCTTAGCTCCTTTCTTAAAATGAAGACTTAGTGATCCCAGAACATGAATAAGCTAAAATTATCACAGGGGAACTAGTAGTGATGTTAAGATGTTGTTCTCAGATTCCACACAGGTAAGTGATAGGCTGCACAGGTAAGTGAGAAGCTACACTTATTTCTGTTTATTCACACAGTAACAGAGTGTTTCATAGAATTCTTCTCAGCTCACATTCTGTTTTCCCATAGCAATAAAAGATGGTCACCATGGTATTTTTATGAAAACTTTAGTTTTTTAAAGTTTAATTATACAGTAACTTAGGAATAGTCGTTTGCAAAGCAACTTACACAGCCATGTAATTATATAGTTTAAGGGAGTCCCAATTAAAGACTTAAAATATGCAAACTCTGTAGTCTTGTTTCACAGCTGCTATCTAAACAGGCTCGTAAGAACCAGAGTTTGCAATAAAGCCAGATGCCAACTTTGCTGCCACATATGCCCAGACAACACAATCACTTAACCTAATGACGTCTACTACGCTATCTCAGGCTTATTCACTTGCTCATCTTCCAACACTGTGCATGCCATTAAATGCCAACAGTGCCCTTCAGTTCTCTACATAGGACAAACAGGTCAAACCTTATGCCAAAGGATAAATGGACACAAATCTGGCATTGGGAATCACAAGATTGAGAAACCTGTAGGAGAACACTTCAACTTTCCAGGACATTCAATTGGTGACCTCAAAGTAGCTGTTTTATTGCAAAGGAACTTCAAGAACAGACTGGAAAGGAAAATTGCTGAATTGCAAGTTATTACAACACTTGGAACAACCCCCCAGGACTTCACAGGGATATTGGTTTCTTATCCCACTACATATGCTAAACACATTCACAAGAGCTTACACCTTGAATAAAACTTTGCTGGTCTTAAAAGTGCCACTGGGCGCAAACTTTCAAAAGAGTGAGCAAACTGAAACTAAATTCTGACAAGACAAAGGTAATACTGGTTGGGAGGGTGAAGATATTGAAGGACATTGTGGTTCCCATTTTTAATGGAGTCCAGATTACCCTTGAAGGCTGTTAAAAGGGGTTAAACTGAATCCAACATTACTACTGGAGAAGCAAGTTGACATAGCTGAAGAAAAGCACTTTCAAGTTGATCTAGTCCAGAACATGGCCCCCTACCCTGACACAGCCAATCTGCCTTCCTGGATCCATGCCATAGTAACATTAAGACTAGACCACTGTAATGCATTTCACATAGGTCTCCCCTTAAAATCACCTTGGAGACTTCAGTTGCTGCAGAATACCACAATTTGGTTATCACATACAAGGTCCTTCATGGCTTTGTCCTTCATATCTCCCAGACCACCTCTTCCGCTACAGTCCTCCACAACAGCTTTGCTCATCTGAGCAGGGCCTTCTGGAGGTGCCACCCTGCAAATTAGCAAAATCAATGACATGGGCATTTGCTGTTTTTGACCCCACCTTATTGAACGGCCCATTGATGACGTCAAGAAGACTCCCATTCTGGCATTCTGCAAACTATGCAAAACTGATTTATTCAGGAGGGCTTTTTAACAGGTAATAGGCGCCGAGGTGGCTCAGAGGTTAAGACACTAAGCTGCAGACCAGAAGGTTGGTAGCTCAGCAGTTCAAGACCCTAGTGCCGTGTGACAGAATGAGCTCCTGTCTCTGGCCCCAGCTCCTGCCAACCAAGCAGTTCGAAAGCAAGAAATTGCAAGTAGATAAATAGGTACCACTTCGGTGGGAAGGTAACAGCATTCCGTGCACCTTGGCGTTTAGTCATGCTGGCCACATGACCACAGACAAAATCTTCAGACAGCGATGGCTCTTCGGCTTGGAAACGGAGATGAGCACTGCCCCCTAGAGTTGGGTTCGACTGGCTTTTGAGCAAGGGAAACCTTTACTTAATGGTTGGGGAATGGTTCAGAGTAAAAGTATGATCCTACTGTGTCATTTCTGCATTGTTTAGCATTTTAATACTTATGCTTTGTTTCAGCACAATTTCAGATTTCTGCAATCCAAATCTGGTGTGAAACAAGCCCTCCCCCCCCAGTCCCTCCTATAGAAAAGCCCTGGAAAGATGGCTGTGATATGGAAAGGACATATCCAGCTGCTTCCTTCGCCCTGCCTTTCAGGAGGAGTTATTTTAAAACTTCAAGCTCACTCCCTCATAATAACAGTGGTATGGCTGCCTGCCTGATTGGCCAGGAGTCAAAATCAAGAAAAAATATGGAAGTCTGTATAGTTTAAAAGCAAAATGAATCTTTTTAGAGGAAGGTTATCAATAGCAACAGGAGGGAGTTATAGCTAAGGGAGGAGTTATACAAACAGAGCTAGATGACAGTATTAGAATGTGATGAGGCTTTGCCATAGCAGCTGCATAAATCCAAAACACTGAAGAAAACACTGGAATAGAGTTAGGACTGCCTAGGAAGTGCGGTTTGAGGGAAGAATTGGCATGAGGAGGAGGAGGAAGAAAGCCAAAGTGACAGGCAGCATAGTTCTACTCGTTTGTTTAATGAGACTTCTGTTTAAGTAAAAGTGGCTCAGGAGGCCACAAGGGGCGTGTTCGAGGGCTTAACAGACGGGGTTTGGTGGAGAGAGACTTGGACGGGGAGGGGCTGTAGGCGAAGGAATGGGCAGAGCGGGAAGGAAGGAAGGAATGTGGACGGGTTCCAGACGGGAGGACAGCCAGAATAGCTGGCAGCGAAGTTGTTGCGGGGAGTTTTGAAAGAAGGCGCTTGACTCAAGGGAGGCCTGCCGAACATGGGCAAGGCGGGCGAGTGCGGGGCCTTGTGGGAGAGGCCAAGAGGAAAGAAGGCGGCGGGGGAGCAGCGGCAGGAGGCACCCCCGGTGCGCAGCATGCAGACTGGCCAGGCGCCTCACTAGGAGGAGGCAGGGAAAAGTTCCCTCCTCTTCCCTCTCTCTCTCCCCCTCCCCGCGGCGCCTTCCCTGCCCGCCGTTTGGCAGACGGACTTCGCGCAGGGGCGGCCGCCGCCGCCGCCGCTCAGGACCTCTCGTCGTGGCCGCCTCCTCTCCGGCCCCGCTGGTCCCGTTCCGGCTTGCAGCAGCCGCGGCCTCGCCCAGCCGCTCTCTCCCCTGTGGCCTCCCGCCGGGCCGGGTCGTCTGTCGCTGCGGGCCCGGGGCTGCTGCTGGCCAGACCTCTGCTCTCCCTGGGGCTGCTGCAGCTGATTCTGGGCTGCTGCATGGTGGCCCTGAGTTTCGGGGCGCTCTCCCTCAGCGGCTCCCCGGAGGTGAAGAACGCCTGCCCCTTCTGGGCTGGCTCCTCGGTAAGTGGCCCCGGGGAGGGCTGCGCCCCGCTCGCGCCGTCTCTCCTGCCTCAGCGCCGTCGCCGCCGCCTTCTAGCAGGTCGGATGCTCTCGGGGACACCTGCTCGCTCGGGCTTCTTCCTACGAACTCGTGTTAGTTTTAGCCGTCCTCTCCGGGTAGTCAGTCGCACGTTTTCATTTGCAAGGTGCGCTGCAGCCTTTGCCTTCCCAACAGCTTTGTGAAGATGCACACTGTTCTCATTTCTTTTTCGGAGAGAGAAACGAAAAGCAAGGATGATTGACGTGCCCAGGTTTGAAGTTGAATCCTTAGAATACATCAAGGAGGGTTGAGGAAAGAGCGGGACTGGAACAAATGGGGTACCTGGTAGATACCAGTTGGCCAACTCAGCATCGGTGGTGTTTGTTCCAAGGAGTGATGCCCTTTGGAATGTCCGTTATGATTAATCGGTGTTTCCTATTGACACATTAATCACTTTGGAAGTAGAGGAGTAACCGGGAAATACGAAGTAAAGATCAGATGGTGATGGCTTCACGTTTGTCCTGAATATGATTCTCCCAAAATGAAAGTGTTTTAGTACTTCTGGGTCACATGGTAGTAGTTGATCCACCTGTCCCTTAGTATCTCTGTGTAGGCTTGATATGGGAGAGCAGACACAGCTACTTGTTTGCTGTTTGCTTCCATGATAACTTTGGATTTGTTAGTTTAGTCATATTAGTCCAGCAAAAATAATGGGATGTGTGGTTGTGCATAGTATTTTGCTATAGCTGGTGGTGTAATTTCTTTCATTCTGTAAATATGCCTCAGTTATATATAATTGTTTCACCGTGCCACAGGCTTCCTATTGCCATCTAATCTTTGGCAAATGACCCATATCTTGATCACAAACACAAAACATGAGAATCTCATTGATTTCAGTGGAATATGCTTCATATTGCAATGTGGGCTTCTGTCTGTGTGCCTTATATTTTTTTCTCTGTGTCTTTTAGCATTAAAAATGTTAACTCTCAAAACTGCAGCTTTTCACTCTGACTTAAGGAACAGTGAGCTTTCAGTATTGCAGAAAAATAAGTGCAAATTATCATGTCTCTTAAGTTTCCCAATCTAAACATTCCTGTAAACATATTGTTACTATTTCCAGTTTTATGACAGATAATTGTGGATGGCTTGGTTAACAGTTGGAGGGTGTGCTCTTTTCCAAAGAATATTATCAGTGTGCAATTTCTTCATAATTATTAGACTGTTAGTACAGAAACCTGGGAACCATAAATGGCTTGCATTCCTTTTCTAAGTACATTGGCAGAAGCAAGTGCTGTTGATTTCAGCTGAACTTAATTTCAAGCTGTTAGCAATAGGATGGTGGTACTTCACAGAGTACCAAAGGCAAATCTTTGCCCCAAGAAAATAATTGTCTAAATAGGATGGTCCAGGAAGACATTCATGTATGAATCTTGTTTCACAGAAGGCAAGAACAAGTTACTTTCATCCATTTTTTAAAAAATCACATTGAAAGTATTAAATAGACAGTTTAATTTTACTGCATACATGTGCCTGTTCTTTTGGCTACAGTTGTTTTATCTGATTGGATAGACAATACTTGTAGCAACTGTGCAAATCATCATTTCAAGTTCAAAAGATAAAGGGGTTAATATTGGACAAGACTTTGAGAAATGGTTTTATTTTTGTGGCCTCCTAGTGAATGTATCTGTTGATGCAATGTTAATAGAGATAAGGAAAAAAGAATCTGGCTTCAGAATTATGTATTCCTCATTGCCTTGTAATCTTGAATAGAGTGGTTAACCACTCTGTATTTCAGTTCCTGTAAAATAAGAGGTTAAATATTTTCTGCAACAAGTGTCTCAAAGCTATTAATTAATGATGGTATTTGAATCTTCTGTGCATGAAATATCTTTATTTTATATACTCTTTCTTTCCTATTCAAGATGTATGAGTGCACGACTTTCTTATATATACCTCTACAACGTTGAGTTCTTTTAGTTAGAGCTTTGAGAAGGTTGGAGATAAGAAAACAAATCCTTTCCCCATAATTGTTACTGTAATTTCAGGGTCCACAACCTTTCTGAGCTTGTGAGCACCTTAGGAATTTTGACAGAGACTGGTGGGTGCAACCACAAAATGGGTTCCATGGGAGGTGTAGACACACACACACACACACACACACACATAAACACAGAGGAAACCCAAGTGCAGGGAGCAAGAGGAATAATTTTTAAAAATACACTTGGAAAGAAGAAGAGAAGAGAAGAGATTGGATTTATACCCTGCCCTTCACCACCCAAAGGTGTATCAGACCGGCTTACAAACTCCTTTCCCTTCCCCTCCCCACAACAGACACCCTGTGAGGTAGGTGGGGCTGAGAGAGGTCTTGACAGAAACTGCTCTTTTTCAAGAACAGCTCTTTTCAAGAAGAGCTCTTATCAGAGCTACGGCTTGCCCAAGGTCATCCAGCCAGGTGCAAGTGGAGGAGTGGGGAATCAAACCCGGTTCTCCCAGATTAGAGTCCGCGCACTTAACCACTGCACCAAACTGGCTCTCTGACTGAGGAGTGAGAAACAGAAAAGAACCAACACTGTGGTGGCAGCTGCCACTGAAATGACATTTTAAAAATCTGCACAGCCAATCAGATCTTGAATGGCCAATTCCAAGCTCTAATGCAGGGGTGTCAAACATAAGGCCCATCCAGGGCTCTTATGCTGCCCCCGAGCAACTAGTGCAAAGGAGGGAACAGGAGACTGTTTTGGGGGTGGGGGGTGGGCAGAGCCATTCCGATTGTGGCTTCAGCATGGTGGAACAACCTCATCTGCAGCAGTCAAGCAGCATGGGAGTGTCCGCCCAGTCCTGCACCTCTGGCTCTCCAGTCTGCCCTTGTAGGTTTTCCATTGCACCCCCTCCCAGCCCATGGGGCCTTGCAGTTAAGGGTACACCAACTCGGCACTTACAAGTTGCTGTCCTTTATATACAGTTTAGATCTCTGATACCTGGCATTATGTTTTATGGCACACGTGGCCTGGCCCGACAAAGTGACATTTATCTCAGATCCGGCCCTCGTAACAAATGAGTTCGACACCACTGCTCTAATGGGCAGGAGCCTCACCTGGCCCTACCCACTTTCTAAAAATACTTGGTGGGCAGCAGGAAAGGTGCCCACAGGTACCATGGCACCCATGCTGGGGACCCCTGCTGTAGTTCATGGGAAATTTGAATACTGTATATGTATATAATTTTAAGCTGGTTTCATTAACTTCTTCATTAACGTTCTCCATATTCATGTAGACAGATGAATATGGATGTTGGTTTTCATGCACGTTTGTCTGGCTGGACAAGTCACCATGTTTGCATACAGGTTCTGTACTGGTGGTGGGTTGCTGTACCTGACATTTGTAATGCTCCAGGTTGGTGTAGGGGTTAAGACCAGGAACTCTAATCTGGGAGAATCAGGTTTGATTCCCTACTCCTCCACATGCAGCTGCTGGTGTGACCTTGTGTCAGTCATAAGTTCTTTCAGAGCTGTTCTCTCAAGGGCAGTTCTCAAGAGAGCTCTCTCAGCCCCACCTACCTCACAGGGTGTCTGTTGTGGGAAGGGGAAGGGATTTTAAGCCGCTCTGAGACTCCTTCGGGTAGTAAAGGGCTGGGTGTAAATCCAATCTCCTCCTCCTCCTTCATAGCTAGCAGATGGTTGCATATGTATAGTGCTGGTTCTAACATAAATAGTGGTATCAATCATCTGTTGGAAATGGGGGTTAAAGGGGCATTCAGTCTCCTCCATCTAAACAGATGAAGAGGAGGAGATTGGATTTATACCCCGCCCTTCACTCAGAGTCTCAGAGCGGCTTACAAACTCCTTTCCCTTACACCAAACTGACTGATGCAGTTACTAAAGACGTGACTATGGCAATGTGTATGCTGCAGTTTACTGCCAAATGAATACAGTTAACCACTGTTGAGGAGAAAAGCAGGGTATAAATAAAGTAAATTAATTAATTAAATGAAGAAAAAAAGAAATAATTGAAAATATTTTAGTTGTATTAGCAAAACAAGACAGTATCATCATGAAGAGTATTTTCTGCAATTTTAAATTGGTGTATAACCCCCTGAAGACAAAGGGGTCATTTCAGTCCCTCCCTTTCCTTTGATTTTTCTCCTAAAATGTCAGTTGGTTCTGTACTTTTTATGTGCTAGGGTTCTTATACGCTCACCCTAGCTCCTGATTTTTTTTTGAGGGAAACTACAGCTTGCTGCTCGTGTGTGTGTGTGTGTGACAGTGAAAAGAATCTGGGAAGATTCCTCCTCCAACGCACAGATGGATATTAGATGGATATTAGAGCTGGGTGCTGGTTTCCAACAATATAGTTGCAGGGAGCTGGAAGAAGTCACCATCACACTCATGGGCGGATGCTTTTTACTCCCCTCCTTTGTCAGAGCAGCTTTCCCACGCAACTCTGTGCAGCAGCAGGCTTTATTACTAGTCAGCATCCCTCACACCCACCACCTCACGGGATATTTAACCTTGTGTGCCTTGTGCTCAGAGTATCCTCTCCTCCAGGGGTAGGAGGTGCCCTCAGCCAGGAGCAGCAATTAGCGGGAATGAGACCCCCTCTTTGCTGTGAGTGAGTCGCTGAATGCCAAGCATCTCTTCAGCCTGCCTCCTTTCAGCCTGAGCCGCGTGCCAGAGATGAACATGCAGCCTGGAGGTCTGGTGGCCCCACCCATTCCACGATGGGCCGACCTGCTTGAAAGCTGACCGTCTGAAAGCAGGTGCTGCGGCCAATTGCACAAAATCATCCTTGCTTCCCCTTTTTACACCCAGGCATAAATGCTCCCACCCATGGCTGGGAGCCTGTCCTCTACAAACAGGAGTCCGCTGCCACTGACGTGCTCCTCTGTTGATGCACACAGGGCGTTAATTGGGTCATGCCTGAAGCATGTATTTGTTGTCAAAGTGACTGGAAAGAGTTCGTTGGAGTCCTTTTTACAGCCCCAAATCAAATAAATGGTGGATAATGAGCTAGTAGGGCTCTTAGTGCTTCATAATTGTTTGTTTTATTGTTGCAGGTGATTTTATCAGGGATTATAGGATTGACAACATGGAAGAGACCAATGATACTTTTGGTATGTGTTGGTTAACATGATTATATTTACTAAAAATAATAACGGAAAGTATGTTGCAAGATTTTCTTGATACAATAATAGCACTCTTTAAACTGATTCGTTTGCTTCCTTTTTAATTTAATAAATCTTTATACATTTTTACAAGGTCTGGTTTTCTTGTGTGCATCCAGCCTCGAGGACACACATGTCTGGGAAGTTGTTGAGGGGTTCTACACAGTGGACTAGGAGCAATAACCCAGAGGGACACAGGCTTGGGTCTGTGCACCTGTCTCTGCCAGAGTCTCAGTGGCGATGTGGGGGGGAGCCACAGTGGGTGAACTTGGAGCCATGCTGGACTAGCCAGCATCAATATTGGTGGGGGTTGTGTGGCATCCTGGCAGCAGAAGCTTTAAGGCCGGAGGGCTTCGGGAGTTTCAGCAGGCCTGGTGGTAGAAGCCTGGAGCTGTGCTGGGCTCACTGGCATTGATGTCAGTGATAGGGTGATGGGGTAGGAGCACAATAACTCAGCACCAGTGGCTGCAACAGTGTGTGTGTGTGGGGGGGGCAAAAGCCATGATACTCACAGGGGGAGATCCCTTCCCTCTCTTAGCTGGCACTTACAGGGGGGGGGAGGAAGGGATCCCCCTACGAATATCACGGATCCCCACTTGTATGAAATTATTTGTATCAAAAGTGATATGTAAAATATCTGCTTCAGATCTTGCCTCTGTTGTGAACACTAGGGAGCTTTAGACAAGCGTTTGCTTTTAAACTCCCATCCAAGTTGTTGTAAGGACTGTGGCAAGATAATCAATATGAAGCACTTTGAACAACTGAACTAGCTACCCAAATGTGAAGTATTTATTATTATTCTATATGTCCCTATATTTGCCCTGACCTGGATGGCTCAGGCTAACCCAGGCTTGTCAGATCTTGAAAGCTAAGCAGGGCCAGCCCTGGTTAATATTTGGATGGGAGACCACCAAGGAAGTCCAAGGTTGCTACACAGAGGCAGGCAATGGCAAACCACCTCTGAATGTATGTTGCCATGAAAACCCTACAGGGTCATCCTAAATTGGCTGCAACATGATGGCACTTTCCACCACCACCATCACATGTATTCAGGAAAATAAGTCTCAGGCACATGGGGAAAAAGGAGGAAACATTGGTATTGACTTTTTATTTGGCTGTTACAACGTGATCCTTCTGAGATGATATTCCATAGAGAAAGTATAGCAGTCGTAATTAAGGTAGCGATGAAGTTTGGAACCCACTTATTTGTGACTAGCCCCAAGAAAGTTGGTTGGACAACTATATGTTTACCTGGCCATTCCTGATTGTCTGAATGATGAGGCATGTCTGCTTGTCTGTCATAATCTTCCTGACAAAATAGAGGACTCTAATCAGGGCTCGAGAGCCACCATGGGGACTCGAGAGCCACCATGCCCCCCCATATGTCCCTGATCCAAACTATTTGTCTAATTTTGTATATTTGTAAACACATACATATGTGTACCAGTATAGGATACACTTTTTACATCTGATGAAGTGGCTGTAGTTCACAAAAACATCATGTCATAATAAATCTTAAGTAAATCAGTAAATTTAAGTTTACCCTTGAGCCTTTACCTAGCACAAAAGCAGGGGCAAATTGGTTACATAGTGGTGCTGGATGAGCAGTATTGGGATCATTGGGACTGATTTTACTGACATATTTTTTAAAAATAATATGTCATTTGTCATATAATATAAAGCTTAATGTTTGCAGTAGCTAAGTAAAATTTACAAAGGGGTAGTAGTGATATGCCTTAATTTCTCTCTCCTCCCTTCTACAGTACAGTACAACAACAACCCATTCCTGAATAGTGTTTAAAATGTAATTAAATTTAATTAAGGGGGGAGTTCTAACCACTGTTCCACATGTGTAACTACTAAAACAGATTAATATTCCATTACCATGCATGTAAAGGGGGGGAGCATCCTTTTACTAGTTTAATAGCTCATGGGGAAATATTAACTCCCATCCCCCACTCCTGTTCATAATATTAACAAGGGTTTGCTGCTATACTAGTAGTAAGTATGTTCTGAGTTGCCAACCAGGGATGAGAAGCAGTTGAGACCAAAACCGACAAATGTAGGGGGAATTAGAAGGGAGGAGAGAGAAATTAAGGCATATCCCAAAAGGAAGAAAACAAAATTAAGGAGGAGAGTGTAGAAAAGAGGAAGAGAAATTAAGAGAAGAGGAATGGTTTTATTTTCTGCAACACACTAACAAGGAAAATCTGGCTGAGCAGACAAATTATGGAGCTAGGTGGAAAGAAAGGAAGAGGGAAACGCACTGCTGGAAACAACCTTGTTAGGAAGCTGCAGCCTGGCAATGACTCTAGCAGCCATGAGCTCTCCTGGCTGGTCTTGCCTTTCTCCAGTGTTGGTTTGGTTGATGGATTTAGCAGGATCTGAGAGGCCTCCTAGTGAACTTTGCAGAAAAGTAGTGGGAGCAGAAAACAGAGCTATTTCTGTTTATGTGCTCTGCAGTCCCTTTGCTCCTAGTGGCTGTAGTGCAAAACTGCATTAGAAGTAAAATCGAGATGCATTCTAATTGCAGCATGGCCTTGGCTTCAAGGGCCCTCTAGCTGACTTGGGCCCCAGGAATTTTGTCCATCCAGTCCCTCCCCTTAGTGGCCTCTAGTCCACTCCCTTGAATTTCAGCCACTTAGGGAATCCCTTCGTAGTTTAACAATGATGGATATTAATCTAACAAGCAATAAACATAATTCTACATAATGTATAAAAATGTAAATACCATCTGTTTTAACAGTTTCTGCCCTGAGAATCTGTGTAATAATAACCTGACTCTTGATTATATCATTCTCTTCTATTGTGTACCCTTTCCCCTGATGTACTATATTTGATATGTAAATGTTCATAGTTATCTGCTTCCTTGTTTTAACAAAAATAAAATTTGCTTCCTTTTAGCCACGAGTACCCATCATTATCATCACATTTTGTAAAGTGACTTTAGTTAAAATGAGAATAATATTCATTTTAATACATATTAATAAATCTGAAAAGCAGAAGCTTCAAATGATACATGAACAATGGAATAAAGTATGTCAAGTGGTTCTCATCCACTCTCTGGAAATAGCACACATGCCGAGTTCATGCCCTGTTCATTATTATCATTATTTCCCATTTGTTGCTGTTCTGCTTGAACTTCTACTATTCCTAGTTTATATTAAAGATTTCTATGTAAATGCAGAGTTAATAAATGCAGCAGAACACTTGTATTAGCTTTTAAACAAAGAAACTTTACTGTACTAATGAGGGAGGGTAAACTGGGAGTTGAAAGTAACAAAACAATACAGGAAAATCATCCTGTCTCGCTACTCTGTAACCCACATCTTTTCTTAGAGACCTTGTGTGATGATGAACTAGAGAAGGACAAAGAGCAATAAACCTGAAACCCAGTGCTTACTCTCTAGTCCACCCCCAAGGTATTGATTACCCAACTGGAGAATCCCAATGCTAACTAATTATGCATTTTGTCACCTTGCTCTGGTGGCAACTATGTGCAGGCTTCCCCATTGGGTCTCTAACTTTAAACTAGCTAAGACATCAGCATGCCTAAACAAACAGTAAATTATTTCATGACTACAGAAAGAGATCTTGCAAATCCCAACAGTTTATCAAGATTTGCTGCCTTTTTCTGCCCATAGATATGCCCTTCCCCAAGGTAATTCAGCCACTGAACCTTTGTCACATGTGAGCTGAAACTAGGTAATTGTACAGAACAGTGGAAAAACAATGTGCAACTTAGACATAGTAACCTATTTCTGCTGGATCTAAATACTCTCTAAACACATTGGTAGAAAGGTTAGCATCCTGTGCTAACATGACATCCATTTCAAAACAGCAATATAGCATGAAATAAAAATAGGACTGAAGAGAAAGAAACTGATGAGGAGTGTTTAGACAGATTACATAATTGAAATATATACAATGGAATATGTGTTCTATTCATTCCTATCATTGTCCTTAAATTTCTAATAGCAAACTTCGTATACAGACTGGAGATTTAATTTCTGAAATACGTAACCTTGCAACATGTCTTGGTAGTCCTATGTGGCAGTAAATTGAGACCACTTTTGATGTTTTTTTACATCTTTAATTATTTCTGTACTTCAGATAGAGTTTATCTTGTGTGAGAGGTAATTCCAAGTCCCTGGACTGTATCCAGGATATCACACTTTTATGGTGGGCAGAGCTAGTTTTGGAGGTGAATGTTGTTTGATAGCTAGTGAGGAGTGCACCCTAGTTGGGGGCCAGTCACTGGTAAGCCACTGCTGCTCCTTGCTGTTCAGCTGCTTACTTACCATCTCCTCCCAGCACTTCTTACCAGGAATGCAAGAGAACAGCAGCTGTCACCATTTTCTTGCTCACTTTCCCTCTGGATTTTAGTGAGGAGTGACTCAGCTTGAACCCAATCCTTATAATTGCTACCTGGAAACAGAAGGTGAGGTGAGTGAGCTGTGGTTGCTTTTCCATTCTCCTTCTCACCACTGTCACTGCTCATTTACCCACCTGCTCTTTCTTGGGAAGGCAAGTAGTGAGGAGGAGGAGAAGCAGTCTGCTTTCTTGCCTACTGTCTGTGTCTGTCTGGGTAGTGGTAGGATCTGGGACCAAGTCCCATCACTGCCTACACAGAGGGGGTGCTTCTCACAGCTAATTAATCTCTCCCCCCACCCCCACAGACAGTTTCTTGGCAGAGCACAGGTAAGGGAGCAACCATGTCAAGCAGCACTGCCATATCCTGGTTTCTTGCGTATTGAACCAGAATGAGGGTTTGTGAATGAGACAGCAGATGCTGCTGCTGCTGCTGCTTCTCATTTGCCTGAGAGTGAACAATTGCAATAAGGAGAAGCAGTTGCTACCTCTTGCTCATCTCTCCCACTGGGCCCCTAAGGGATGTCTTGTCTGAAAGTCTAGAAGATCACATGATTAGATCCCAACCAGATCTTGAATTTGTAATGCTCTCCAAGTAGTTCTCTAAATAATTCATCATGCCTAAATACCGTAGTGCAAGTTACTTATTCAAATAAGACATTTGCATTTGTCACACGCAGGAACAATTTGTAAAAGTAACCCCATGCCTTAGAATCAGATAATTAGAAACAAGCCTGAGTAAAAGTTTCATTGAATGATTTGTCTTAGATTTTAGACTCCTACTGTCAGGAGACTGTTGGGGGCATCTAGTTGCTCAGTTTCGCTATTCAAGTACCCCACCAGATGTCTCAGCAAAATAAAAGTATGTTAGGTCAACAGTGTGTTCTATTTTTGGTAGCAAGGAGGAAGTAAGATTTCATCTGAATCCTTCAAATGTGCCTGTGTCCTTCGTAGAGTATAGGGTATCTTTAGCAACTTTCTCTTGTTACAGTGTAAATTTAGAAACTCATCTATTGATTTCATAATATTTAATGCACTGAAAAATAGTATAACAGAAGTGAAGATCAGAATTCTGCAATCAGTATTAAAAAGTTCCCATAATAATAAATGTGTCAATAATATGTTGCAGTAGTAATATCTCAAAATGACCATAACTGTTTTCAGATGGGGCTGTGGCAGAAGTAAATAACTAATGAACTGAGCACAATATGTTAGCACTTTAGAAAAGAAAATAAAGGCAATTATTTGAGTACAATGAACAAGGTGACATGTTTTCATAGACTGCTTTCAATGTCTCACATTTTGTTTTTAATTTTGTTTCAGGTTAATTTATTTGTTTTGCTTTCTGTTATCTGCGTTCTCTTGAACCTGGCGGGATTTATCCTTGGATGTCAAGGTGCTCAGTTTGTTTCCAGTGTACCTAGATGCACTCTGGTGAGGAGATATTTTACCCAGACAGCACTGATATATCATAGGTTACAGTACCTGTCATTAGGGATGGGCACGAACCAGCGCATGAGCCAAAATTTGGCTTGAACTTGAACCGGTTCAGAGCCCCTGAACCAATGTTCAGGGAAGGCGCCTTCCCTGAACATTTACTGGACTTTTGTCCAGTTTGGCTGTTTGGGCCATTTAAACCTAACAGCTGAGCAGTGCAGGTCCGCAGCTGACCTGTTAGGATTAAATGGCTGCCGTTGTACCAATTGGTTTTGCTTCCTTCCGCTTCCAAACAGACCGGTGAAATGGCTGGCAGCCCCAAACCAAACTGGATTTTTTGGGTTTGTGCCCAACTTTACTTTAGATGTCTCTGAAATGTAAAGATTGCAAATCAAAACTACAAAGCAAAATCCTGTCTCTCATATAGTTATTAATGATCCTGTATTCCCTCTTCCTTCAAATTCATCCTCATCTTTCCCATAAGTCTGGTTTACTTGTTCCGTTATGATCCCCAACTGGCCTGAAATCTTAGGATAGAATAATGCATGGGCCATCAGAAAATAACATGTCAGTTTCAGTTTCTCCCCCCTCTGGAACATATCCAGAGGAGGGCAACGAAGATGGTAAGGGGTCTGGAGACCAAGTCCTATGAGGAAAGGTAGATGGAGCTGGGTATATTTAGCCTGGAGAGGAGACGACTGAGAGGTGATATGATAACCATCTTCAAGTACTTGAAGGGCTGTCATATAGAGGATGGTACAGAGTTGTTTTCAGTTGCCCCAGAAGGTCGGACCAGAACCAACAGGTTGAAATTAAATCAGAAGAGTTTTCAGCTAAACATTAGGAAGAGCTTTCTGACAGAGTGGTTCCTCAGTGGAACAGACTTCTTCGGGAGGTGGAGGTTTTCAGACAGGGGCTAGGTGGCCATCTGACAGCAATGTGAACTTTGGCAGATCATGAGAGGGAGGGCAGGAAGGGTTGCCTCGGTGCTTAGTTCTTGTATCCCTTTCTTACCCAGGAAAATACTGATTGCCACTTTGGGGTTAGGAAGCAAATCTTATCCAGGCCAGTTTGGCCAGGGATCCTGCAGGTTTTTTGTCATCCTCTGGGTGTGAAACAGCGGTCACTGCAGGTGTGGAGGGGGAAATATTTGTGAATTTCCTGCATTGTGTAGAGGGTTGGACTAGATGACCCTGGAGGTCTCTTCCAACTCTATGATTCTATGATTCTATTTCCTTGTAACATGTAGCATTAGTTACCTTTTGTGTAATGTCATAATCTGCCTCTCCCAATTCTATGTCATCCCCACTGCTGGGTGAAATAGGCATCATTAATGCCATGACAAGGACCAAATTATGCTATATATTGCTGGCATCACAAGGATGATGTTTTGATGGTGTTACAGCTCTACCGTCAGTAAATGCAACTTAATTTTATCATGTTCGTCTCATGTGCTTGCTTCTTCCACCCATTCCTTATATTATCTCCCTACTGTGGGCATTTATATTATATACTCCTTGGGGTACAAATTTGCATATCACCTTGCTTGTGAAACTCTGTATAGTGTTATCTGTATGATGGTGTTGCATAAAAATGTGTAACATACGATAACTGGAAAATCAATTGGTTTTTAACAAAGAAAAATCAACACTGATAAAAACAACCAGCCATGTACATTTGAAATACAATTTTTAAACACACATATGTATGTACATTTAATAGATGTGTTGTAAATGTCTGAACTTTTAAATTGCTAATTTGAAATTCTCATTATGTTCTTCAATACTAAAGGCTGATGTGAGTGAAAGTAAGTTTTGTTTCTGCTGTGAAGAATTTCTGCCAGTAAAATGCACAGAGAAAGAAAATGCATTGAAGCTGTATCCTCTCCAGTCATGCAATGCTGTTCACCTTCTCCTCAAGGTAAACTAATACTTAATAGAAATAGCACTGTGCTAAATAAAGTGCAACATTAAAAATTCAGTGTAGTTTTGTGTAATTCCTTGCTGTATACTAATATCAACTGCTTTCATATGTACTGCAGTATTTATTCTTGTTACTCTCCTTTTCGTTTACTTGTTCAGGTCATATAAAGAGGGTAGAGAAGAATTTACAAGAACAGCCAGCATATAATCTCTTATCCTATACAACGATACAAAGATTTCCCACATTTTGGTCAAAGCAGGTGACAGCTCACTGATCTGTCCTTATTTTCAAGTGTCTTGAGCTTCACTGAATTGGACTCCATATACAGATCACACCCATGTTTGGAAATAGATGGCAATGTAATGTGAGAACCAGAATGCATGAATCTGTCTCTGAAAGAACGATTGTGAACTCTGGAATAGCTTGTGGAGCCTTGGGCCTTCTTTCAGAAATAGACATGGGCCATCTGACATAGGTTATGACTCAGAACTGGGCCTTGTGTCATAAAAGAGCAACATGAGAAACAATCCTAATATAGTGCTCACTTCCCAACTCCCAGACAGATTTTCCCCGCCGAAACTTACTTCCCTTCTGTTACTGAGCCACCCCCCAGTAGCATGTATTTCTTCTTTGTCTTAAAATACTTGATTATCCCACCGTTTGACTAAGATATATTTTGGCTTTGGACCCAGCACAGGAACTCGAGGGAAAAACAGAAGCTCTCTTGTCTTAAACCCTTTGAAATGGCACCTGAAACTCTATAACTTTTAAAACAGAATACAAGATTTTATTTAACAGGCAGGGAATATATATATAGAAGTCAAGGTTTATAAATACTGAAGTAAAAGTTGTATTTTGTACAGGAACAAATTCTTAAGACAAACACAAGTGAGTTGTAGCTTATTTTCAGAGATTTCTAGATCTTTTCTGTGAGAGGTATTTTGCTTAGTATATTTCAGCAGTTTCAGTATTGCTTCACAGTTTCCTGGAGATTTTCTCTTTCTCCCTTTTGAAAACACAGTTTCCCACTAACTCCTGAGGTGTCTAAAGTTTATTCCCTTCACCACAGACCAGGGTTCTCCTCAGAACTCAACCCCTTTTCAACTGGCAGGAGTTGTTCTTCTTTTTCCTAAGAAGCAACAACTTTTCTGTTTAGCTTGATTGGGAGTTACAGCCTAACAACCCAGTCACCCTTGCCAAAACTCTTTCCAAAAAAGTACTGATGTCTGTGTAAAGCAGTTTTTAGCTTTCTGGACTTAGAATCACAAGTAGTTCTTCAATTAGGGCAAAGGAGTCTCTTCTCTTCTCTCAGAAGAACCTGTCTGACCAATCCTGTCAGAACTACCGACTCCAGCCAACTCACTGGCTTGCTGACTCCAGATCAAAAGCTTTTTTCCTCTCCAGAAACCCGGCTGATCATATACTTTCCCTCAGCTGATGCTGGCCAATCAGAGAGTGTGTAGAGCATCCAATCAAATAAGCTCTCCACTTCATGGAAGACTAACTCCTTACCTCCATGGCTCTCTGAAATAGCAGGATTTAAAAACCTGCGTTTCATGTGCAATCTATCACAAGTGTACTAGCAGGTCTTTAGAAATAATAAAAACCTTAACAATCATTTTAAGGTGAAAAAAACTTTTTGTTTGTTGTTTGCATTTCAGTAGCAACTAGAAACATGCACGTTGGCTAAGTTCTCTATAATGGGAACAAAAATGGGGTTGAAATGCTTATAAATAAAAAGAAAACAAAAACTATACACAAAAGGTGTATGATTCTGGAGAATATAAGCAAGCTGCATGGCAATATTATGATAAAATAGTAGCTTGTCTAACATGATCTTGCATTTGGAAGTAGACCACAGAAACAAGAACATCGTCCATCGTGATTACTGTTTATCTGAGTTTTAAACAGCATAATAAAAAGTAGTTAAAATGTAGATGCAAGCTGCTGACACTTCTCTTCTTGGAAATCAAAGGGTTTAATGTCTTCTGTAGATGCTCATGTGCTTTCTATAATATGCTCAAAATTCAAAATTGTTTTCATTCGGGAGGCACTGTGTCTCAGTGATACAGCATCTACTTTGCATGTAGAAGGTCTGAGGTTCAATCCCTGCCATCTCCAGATTAAAAGGATCAGGTAGAAGGTGATCTGACAGATATCTGTCTGAGACCCCGGAGAGCCCTTGCCAGTCAGAGTAAACAATACTGACCCTGATAGATCAGTAATCTGACTCAGTATAAGGCAGCTTCACATGTTCATGTATGTTTATGGCTCATATTTGCAATACATTTATTACTCTTCCTACTCTGTTTGCCTTACAGAAAGTTCTCTTTGCTCTCTGTGCTCTGAATGCCTTGACCACAACCGTGTGTTTAGTAGCAGCTGCCCTACGTTACCTGCAGATATTTGCAACAAGAAGAACCGGCTCTGTAAGTGAGAGCAAGGCAAACTTTTTAAACTGCAGAAATGCAGAAGTCTGTCTTCCATGTAATCTGCTTATGATTCAAGCCTTCAAAAATGGGGAGAGGGATACAAAACCTCTAAATTTATTTTGTTAGGAAGAATCCCAAACTTATGTGGAGGAAGTTGAAGAACAAAGCCACATTTCTGATCCTGAGAATTTTGTGCCACCTGTACCACCTCCGTCATATTTTGCTACATTTTACTCCTGTACTCCTAGGATGAATCACAGGTAAAATATTGCAGTTCTTTATTTTGCATGTCTGATAATTATTTGACCAACAGCACTTTCTGTTGTTAATGTTGTCATTACCCTCAACGTGATAATTTAGGTGGGGCTTTCCCTTCAGTTAACACTTTCTGTAATTCTAGACTGGCTGCAAACTATAGTTTTGCGGTTTATATCTAAGACCTTAGTGGCAGTTGACTCTGGGTAAGAGATATGTGGTGATTAGTTGAAGTTCGGAAGTTATAACATAGTTGCTTTGAGTCAGGATGGGAACTGATCACAGAATATTTTGCCCCAACTGATTTATGTCCCATGTGGAGTACAAAGCAGTATGGACTGATTGGTTTCTTACCTCACTACATATGCTAACCTCATTCAGTTCTTACATTTTCACCAATCCCCCAGAAGGGTGATACATCCTCTTTATTGTATTTCTTATTTTGAATAGTAGATTGTAATGTAATGTAATGAATAGCATAATGTAATGTAATTTGGAATGGTAGATTGGAATGTATTTCTCTGGTCTGGGGACAGGGGAGACACACTACACAGCCAATCGCCCCACCTCAAAGAAGAAGATGCTGTAAGGTTGCCTCCACACTTGAGAGGAGACGGATGGAGCGTAATGGCAGGTTCTCAGTTAATTACTCTCAGCATCCCACAATTAAGAAGGGTACATCTGCCCGTCACTCTCCAATTTTGATATATTTATTTCCTTCACTATGTTTCCCCCCGGAATTAAACCCAAACAAATGGTAACCATATCAACGAAGCTTGTTATTCCTGTTTGGTCCTTGAATCTGTTAAACATTTTCATGTTGTATGTTAATTTGCTGCTCATCATCGGCCTATATGTATAGACTTATAACTTTCTTATACCTTGAATAAAACTTTGTTGGTCTTAAAGGTACCGCTGGACTTGAACTTTGTTCTCATTTAAATTAAGTTTTCTATTTGTACTTCAGATATTTTTTAAACAGCAGTTCATATGAATTGTTTTTATAAATATTAAAACGTGTTGGTCTAAATGTAAAAACAACCTTAAAGTGTACCTTCCTGAGTAGTATAAACTATATATAATTTCTTAATTTTAAAAAAAATGGCTACATGTTTATATTTTATTTGTACCGAAATTGTACCAAATATACAGTGTACCATGAAATTAATTTTTTCATTACATGCCAAGCTGCACTGGGTTAATTATGCATACGGAAGAACACGTTTTATTTTAAAACAGGAGATTTTGTTCTGTTGTGTATGCCGGTACATATTCAAAGAACTACTTTGCAGGCTGAATGTCTATTGCTTTCTGGAAGTAATAGTGTTAGTTACTGCATTAAACTGTGTGTGTGTGTTTATGAAATGGAAATTAAATGTTCATGTTGTAGAATGAAAATTTTGGAAATGAGTATGTGCTTCAGTAGTTAAGCATAAAATAGGAGTATAGATTACTGTACCCAACTGCACAAAGCAGCCAATGAACCCAGCCAGTGTCTTCCGAGTGGCAGTTTTTTCGGCCTAACACTAAAGGAGTGCATTTTAGAATTCTGGCACCCAAAACCCTTTTATAATATAGGAGAGATTTGTACCGAAATTGTACCAAATATACAGTGTACCATAAAATTAATTTTTTCATTACATGCCAAGCTGCACTGGGTTAATTATGCATACGGAAGAACACATTTTATTTTAAAACAGGAGATTTTGTTCTGTTGTGTATGCCGGTACATATTCAAAGAACTACTTTGCAGGCTGAATGTCTATTGCTTTCTGGAAGTAATAGTGTTAGTTACTGCATTAAACTGTGTGTGTGTGTTTATGAAATGGAAATTAAATGTTCATGTTGTAGAATGAAAATTTTGGAAATGAGTATGTGCTTCAGTAGTTAAGCATAAAATAGGAGTATAGATTACTGTACCCAGGAGGTTTCAAGGGATTGTCCTGGTAAAATACTGGGCAGTATCTCCTGGAGCTAGGGGATGGGATGGGATGTAATGCATGTATTAATTTCCAATCCCTGATTCTCGGTATCAAAACCAGAATAATACGTACAGTACACAATCTTCTGTGCTATTTTATATTGTATAGTTGGAAATCACAAGTCAGTTTTTTATGTACTTATTAATTTAATTTACATTATGTATAGTCTGCCTTTCCCACTGAGACTTGAAACAGACTACACAAGGTAAGTCAATAGGATAGGATATCCAGTAAACGGTGTAATAGGATTTGGATGCGGAAATTAAAATAAGTAAAAATCTGGAAGCAAAGCTGAAACAGAGCAAAATATTGATATGGCATTTTAAATGAAGCAAAACTTACATAATAGGATAGTACATAACCAACAGATTGTGTGTACTATACACATAGTATAGTCCACTGTCTCATTTTCCCTCAGTCACTTCCCTTAGTTCCCTATTGCCTTTGTAAAAATGCTCTCCTGAATAATTCAGTTTTGCATCTTTTGTGAAATACCAGGAGAGTGGGACCTTCCTGACCTCATCTGGCAGGCCATTCCATAAGGTGGGAACCGCAACAGAGAATGCACTTGCATGGGCAGTTGTTGATCTTGCCCATTTGCAGGGTGGCCCTGGTCAGATGAACAAAGCTGTCATGATGGAGTGTAGAAGGGAGAGGTGGTCCTGGAGATATGAAAGACCAAGCTATTAAGGGCTTTATACGTGATAGCCAATACCTTGGTGATTGATTGGTAGCCAGTGGAGCAACTGCAGAATAGGGCTAGTGTGCACGCTTCCCTAGCTCTAGATAATAATCAGGATGCAGCATTCTGCACTCAGTTCTCCAAACTGACTTCGGTGGGAAACCTATGTATCATGCATTACAATAGTCAAGTCCCAGTGTTATCGTGGTGTGGATACTGGTGTCCAGCTTGCCTGAGTCAAGATAGAGGCAGTCTTCTGAGCTAAATTAAATTGCTAGAAAGTGGGGGGTTTGGCAGCTGCTTTAACATGGTTTGCCAGCTCTAAAGCAGTATAACCCCTAAGAGGCTGACCACGTCAGTGAGGATTAGCTGAACCCCATTGAAAGTGGGAAACGCAGTATCCTTCAAGATCTCCACCTTCCCCGTTAGTATTAACTTCCGTCTTGTCAGGATTCAGTTTCAATTTGTTCACTCTTAGCCATTTAACTACAGTGGACAGGCAGCAATTCATGACCTCTACCACATCACCAGGAAATTTGGCTAAGGAAATACAGAACTGGGTGTCATCAGCATATTGATGACAGCCAACCCCCCCAAATTATAAATGGTTTGTCCTAAGGGCTTTACATAGAGGTTGAATAGAATGGGGGATAGCACTGTGCCCTTTGGAATCCCACAGGACGAATCCCACACTGAATGTAATGGTTTCAAATGACAATCCTTTGAGTCCAGTCTGTGAGGTACTATTTGGACTAGTCTAGAGCACACACCCTGATACTTGCTTCTGTTTCCAAATGTGTCAACAAGATGACTTGGGCCTCTGTATCAAAGGCTGCAGAAAAGTCCAGTAGAAGCAGCAAAGGAGCATAGCCTTTGTCTATATTCTGAAGGAGGTAATCAACCAAAACCACCGGGATTTTCACCGTCCAATAGCCTGGCCTGAAACCACACTGAAAAGGGTCCAGAGTTGATGAGTTGTCCAAGAAGACCTGGACTTTGTCAGCTTGTGCTGTCTCAGCCCTTTGCCCGAAAGGGGTAGAGACTAGACAATAACTGGCCACATCATTTTTCTGGAGGAATGTTTTTTAAATTAGTAGATGGATAACTGTGTCAAGAACCTAAGCCTGGCCCCACCTAGGGTCACCATTCCTTTGGCAGTGCCTCGGCCTGCGGGTCTTCGAGGTTATGTGTACACAAGTAAACAGACCTTTGTGGAAAAGTATAAAGGTTTATTAAGTGTTTTTCAGAAGACAGGACATGTGAATGGTTGTGTGAGTATATATGAGTATGGTTGTAGATCACCGAATGATTGCATCTTAATTTCGTTGTACTATGTACAATGACAATAAAGTATATTATTATCATTATTATTATTATTATTATTATCATTATCATCATCTTATTATCATCCCTGCTGAGCTCCCTCCCCATGCCTAAACTCCACCTTTGCCAGGGACCCTCCACAAATCTCCCACCATTTGCCTCCTTGATTCATGTCCATCTTGGCTTGTTAAAGCTTGTGGAGACGAAATTTGGACTCCCCTGGAAGATATTATCTTCAGGGACATTCCCATGGTGTCTGCATATTTATTTGTATTATTTATTTATTATTTCAACTTGTATCCCACCTTGCCAGACAAGCTGGCTCAAGGCGGCTTACAGATATTAAAATACAATAAAAGCCTAAATACAATAAAATTCATATAAACTATATAAAATACTAACATAGAGAATACAGTAGATGGAGGCATTCTTTAAACAATCCCTTAAATGAAAGGCGGTATCCAACAGTATATCATAGGGCCATGATGTATTCTGGTGGCTCATTTATCAGTGGCGGCTCCTAATCGAAAGCCTGGTGGAAGAGCTCTGTTTTACAGGCCCTGCGGAACTGTAAAAGGTCCCGCCAGGCCCTGATGTTCTCTGGGAGCTCGTTCCACCAGTATGGAGCCACCACTGAAAAGGCCCTGGCTCTAGTACTGGTCAAAATGGTCAACCTGGCATCTTTCAGGGCAGGGAGAGTCAGGCGTTGTTGCGACCCTGACCTCAGTGCTCCTTGGGGGCATGTATGGGGAAAGGCGGTCCCTCAGGTAGGCAGGTCCCAGACCATATAGGGCTTTAAAGGTCAAAACCAGCACCTTGAAATGAATCTGGTAAGCTATTGGCAGCTGAAGGCATTGGCCTTCAGCACAGGCTGGATGTATTGAGAGACACATCAACAGCCTGGCTGCTGCATTTTGCACTAGCTGCAGCTTCCGAATTTGGGACAAGGGCAGTCCCATGTAGAAAGTGTTGCAGTAGTCTAATCTTGAGGTGACCATAGCATGAATCACTGTTGCCA